GGAATCCATGTTTATATAATGAATTTTGATTGATATTATTGATATTTTGATTATTGATTTCTCTAATTGATAGTGTTTTATTGTTAATCTTGCAACCTGATCAATTGTTTGATTTATTATTGTTAATAAGCGTTTGAATCGAAAGATCTTACTTTTAGAGGCTTACCTACAATAAGCAATTCTGATTATGTTAGCGACCGAACTACATATGATGAATTGAGAGCGTTAAGACTCGACCGTAGGCTTAGCAATTGCTCTTGATAATTGATTGATTGAATTGTTATTGATTTTTTTTTATAGATTTAGAGCTATAAACATGGTGAACCATAACCCTAGGTCTTTTTATTAATTGTTTTATTCTTATTTTAATTTAGACTTTATTTTTATCCAAATTTCATGACATAGTTTAGTTGATCCACACCTTGAAAGCTAGATTGAATATCATCTCCCTGTGGATTCGACCCTACTTACCCTACTAAATTGTTAGTTGGTTTTGTTAGGAATTTATTTTTGACAGGTGTATGACAACCTATCAATATAACATTAGTAAAGGAAGGAAAGGGAGGAGAAAATTAATTTTAAGTTTAACAGATTCAATTTCTTTTTTTCCTCCCAAATTCCTCCAATTTTGGAAGGAAAGGAAATGGAAGATTTTTTGAAGGGAGTTTTTCTTCCATTTCCAATCAAATCCCATTTAATTTTTAGAACCAAACATAGTAATCCATTTTTTTCCTTTCTATTCCTCCCTACCAAAACGAGCCTAGGGGTATTCACCTTCTTTGGGCCTAGGTGATTACTCATGACCAATGAACAGGTAAATTTTTTTCCACTAATTTCAAGATCAGCACCTTCCTCTTTTCCAGCAATCCCCTTCCCCTTTCTTTCTCTATTGTTTCGGTGGTGGAAATGGGGTTTTGATGTTTCAGGAAGGGAAAGGGTGGTATTAGGTGTGGGGGAAGGGAGAGGATGGTGGTTTCGGTGGTGGGGTGGGAGGGAGTACCTTTTGAATTTCGATACGTATAGGGTTTTTGCAATCGAATATGAAAAATTCAGTTTAGTGTCCAGGGTTTTCGATAAGTTTAATTACACGTGTTAATACAATACTACACATCATGTTTAATTAAATGCTACATCCGTCTCAAATTATTTGCAACGATTTGACATAAAGTGTGAGTAGAAAATGTCTAATCATTGCAAATTATTTAAAATGGAGGTAGTAGGTTGGGTAAATGTTGAGATTCCCAACATGAAATTGACACGACTCAGCCCGCTTAGAAAAAAAAAATTATGGAATTATCCATAAATATATTAAACGTGGTTAATACTTTTTCATATAACACGTCACAAACTGGACACGGAAAAAGCATATCAGTGTCAAGGGTTTCCGACGCGTTTAATGAAATGGGTTTACATGACATGATACATTAATATTTATTAAATGGATCAGGTTAGTGTTGAGAGGTTCCCTAATAATTCGTTTAATTCAAACACAAACACGCATGATCATGACATGATTGTCAGCTCTATTGCTATCCATTTAAGGGGAGGAGAAATTAATAAAAGTCAACAAATTAGAGAGTGACACATGGAAAATGAACTAATTCAATCGGTCATCAACAGGTCAAGGTCTAAAGAAAATTATGTGCATGCTTTGTTTCTTTTTCTATGGATTCGCGAATTAAATACCCATTTTGATGTTGTAAAATTTAAAATTAAGTTTGGATGAATTTCAGCAGGGTTTGTTGAAAGAAAGAAGGTTTTAATAATGTTAAGATGGAGCTTTGAGAAATTTGTGGAAAAAAATGTGGAGAGAAAAATGAATTTGAATTTCTAATATTTTTGGGGTTCAATTTTATTATATACCTATTGATTTTTTTTGTTTCTATATCGCTTTAAGTTGTTGTAATAACATGAGGGCTAAATGGCAGCCTCGACCCGAGCGGAAGTGCGATGTGTCTGGAACTTGGGATCGTAAATGGATTCGGGTACCATTCTGATTGCCTCTTTCATGATCATCATCAGGGACTCCCAAGCACACAAATTCATTAGAAATAAAGAATTGAAAGCCTGTTGGTGAAGAGAAAGACAGGGCAAGAGGAAGATCTTGGCGTATCAGGGACAAATTCCACAAAAGTAGTTGTTTTCGCGTCTCGAGTTGTTATCGCAATTGCTGCCATTTTCATATAAAAAAAAAGAAATAAATGGAAGAGGGAATCACTCAGAGTTTAAATAAGATCATTAGGAAACGCATTGATAGGGCGCCTCAAACAGAGGTAGTGGCGAACAGGTGTGTAACGTGTGGAAATTTGCCTAACAGTTCGTGCCAAATCCACAATAAAGCTAAAAAGCGTTGTTTGATGAGCCTGCGTAGTATTAGGTAGTTGGTCAGGTAAAGGTTGACCAAGCATATTTGATCATTTTGGATGATCAACCACACTGGGACCGAGACACGGCCTGGACTCCCACGGGGGGCAGCAGTGGGGAATCTTGGACAATAGGCGTGACTTTAGAATGGCCGGAACATCAGACTTAGAAGAAGGAGCTCCAGCACAAAAACTTTAAAACCTTCCTTCTCTTTTTCATCATGTCTTCTTTATAACAGATTTTCCAATATTAGTACCACGTGGTGTTTACTTGGAGTTCCATTATACGCTGATGAATGCACTTCCTCTCAAGCTAGAATTTCATTTGCTAGATTAAAAAACAGGTCCTCAATGTGTTACAAGTATGAAAGACCATGGAACTTATTCAAGGCGGAATCGAAATTCGCAGGATTTTTCGTAAGCCGCCTAAGAAAGACTTCCCCCCTAGCTCCCTCGAAGGGGGGGGGGGGGGTTCTTTCCCGTGTCAACGAAGACGAGCTCGTATTCGGCTGTAGTTCAGTATTCGATCGGTAGATCAGCATTAGAGCTGAAGGATACTTTCTTTCTGGTTGGACTAGAAATATAACAGCTACTCCCTCCATTTTTAAATATATACTTGCTCCATTTCTCCATGCGCGGAGTTTTAGAAGAAATTGGAGAAAGTGATAAAATATGGAGGTAGTGGGGTAGGTGTTAGGGCTGAGCAAAATCGGGTACTCGGTCAAAAACTAAGGACCCGGTCCCAGAACTGGTTAGTACCAGGTCTAAGATTTTGGAACCGGTATCAACCGGGTCCCAAAATTTTAGATCCGAAACCAGAACTGATGGGAACCGGTTCCAAAACCTGGTACCCGGTGTTATATGTTGCATATATATATTGTTGAACAGCCTTAAAAAAAACTTGAAATCATAGAAAATTCCAGAATATTGAGATGAAAAAATTCCAGAGTAGATCTAAAGTCTAACCAATACATGAATATACATAGCCAAATAAGTATGAGTCAAATAATCTATATATGTTACAATTTAATATATAACCGAGCTTCTTCTTCGGGTTACCGCCATTAACTATCGCCTCTTCTCTCGTTCTCTTAACATTGGCGTGTTCTCCATTGATGTGGTGGTTTCTGGCTTCCTCGGATGCCGTGGATTAGAATTTGTGAGAGAGAACAAGTTCATAATTTGTTTTGCATGAAAAAAAATTAAGAATTTGATATAGATCTAAGAATTTGGAAAAGGGTGGTTGATGAATTAGATGATGGTGGCTGGTGAAATTTGTGAAGATGGTGAATTTGGTGGCCGGTAAAGAGTAGTTTTAGGGTTTTGAAATAATAAGTACTCCAGAGGAGTTGGTTGTGAGAAAGTGGGCTGGTTATTACAAAAATGGCCCAATGTTTCATTTGTTTACTCAAGTCCAAAAATTCAGATGACTTAAAGAACTGGTTTTCAAGAATTGGAACCGGAACCGGTTGTAATCAGTTCCTGATTTTTGGATCCGAAACCGGAACCGGTGGGACCAGTTCCAGGCCAGGACCGGCAAGGTCCATACCGGTTTCGGGTACCCATTTTTTTTGCTCACCCCTAGTAGGTGGAAGAACTAAAAACTGTAAGCAAAAGTAGTTGAGAGAATTGGAGGAGAGAGAATATGAAATTAATCAAATATGATTTATGTTGGGTCCACTAGTTATAAGAAGTAAATTAAATATTGTAAAAGCTTTCCAAATAAGGAAATGAAGCAAGTATTTAAAAACGGCCGGAAATAGATGTGGAGCAAGTATTTAAAACGGAGGGAGTAACCAAAAAAGAAAGAAAATTTTCTTCTTACTCATGCTCGCACAATACAAGGTTTTCCACTCACTCTATTGAGTTACAGCCCTATTAGGTTCTGCAACGAAGCATCTCGATAGGTCCGCAACCTGTGCTGTGGTTGATGCCCCACCCGAGCTCTAATTCCATACTCGATTTGCCGATTCTTCGTTCGAGCGGCCCTCAGAGGATGCGGAAAGCCAACGATAGGAGTGGTTAACTGGTCTATTTTGAGGATGTATTAAAAAATAATAGAGAAATATATTAAGTCAATAGAATGTTAGTTTTCCAAAACAGGAGAATCTATAACATCGGAAGTCATAAGTCCTGTTATTAGTTATTACTGGAGTCCGTGAGACCGGGGCGGACTCACGAACGTAGCTACTAGGGGACATGTTGCTTAATCGATAAATCTGTTTTTTAAAAAAGCTTTGGAGCTGCCGCTTTCTATCTACGAATTGAGTGATCCCCACGCAAGGATCACGAATGTCTAAGAAGAAGCGAGTAATTTCCTTCCTTGCTAAGGGACTAAGCTAGCAACTCGTTCTGTCTCAATAAGCCGAGGAAGTCTTATTTGATGTTCCTTTTTTCATTGGATTGCACGAAACTTTGAGAAGAGAGAGAAAGGAAAGACAGATGGCAGAAATCAATCCTTCCACCAACCTGCGGAGTTGAACACAATACTAACTTCGCCCAGGTTCTTCCAGATATTTTCTGGCCCTTGCTTAACTCCTTGCATGGTACTCTAGGAGTACCTAATACTAATTGTTTGGTGATCCCCCCAAGTTCTCTCGAGTTTCCGTTACTACAATAATTGAATGTAATTGAGGATAAAAAAATTAAAGTAAGGACATGTATATGATACCAGATACTCAAATAGCTGTATTACACATACAAACATATTACACACTAACGAAAGCACAACTGTTTCTACAATAATGGAAGATATAGTATATTGATTTTTCAACAATCACTGCTATTATTATTATAAATATTATCAACCAATGTTATGAATGAATGTATTTAATTAAGAACTTGGATTCAGCGAAATTCCCTAAGGATTGTAAGGAAACACATCTCTTCTAGGCAGCAAGGCCAGCCTTGATCTTCTCAACATTGTGTTCGTCGATGTTAAATGTTTGAGCCAACACGTCGTTAGACACAGGAGGGTTGGAAGTAAAAAGAGCAGCTGCAAACTGTTGAGTGCCTGGCAATTGGCTGTTAAAGGCAGCTATAACAGAAGCCGGGTATTTGGACTTGTTTTTCTGGTAGTGAGCCAAACCTCTAGGGAAAACAAATACTTCACCTGCCTTAACAACCTTAGAAATGAGTTTGTTACTGGTTGTTATGAAAGCAACGTACAATTCACCCTCAAGAACGTAGATTATCTCAGTGGCACGGGGATGAATGTGAGGCGGGTTTAGACCGTAGGGAGCAAAGTCGACTCGAGCCATGGAAACTCCTAAGGTGTTAAGGCCAGGGATGTCCATAACATTTGCCCCGGTGACTTTCGATCCAAGGACTTTGTTGGTGATCTGGCCTGGTTTAGAAATCCCCATGAAGAAGAAATCTTCCGCGGTTATCATGCTAATATTTTTGCAAGGAAATCCATTCACTAGTATTCCTGTGACATAATCAATACGAAATATGAGTTGACATATTAAGTTATTAAGTAGGTGTAATAAAAAGCAAGTTGACATACATAGAAATGTTCAACATTTTCACTACTTTGAATATACCTGATGCATCGGCAACACAAACATCTTGAAGCATGTCTGGATCATTGGCAAAGGACCCAATTGTACATGCCAGCAGCACAACCAAGACTACGACTGCCCTAACACCGGCCATTTCGAAGCTTCCCTACTCGTTCACGTACCGTTGCAATAGGCTTGTAAGTGTATGAGTACAAGAAGGGTACTATACAAGTCTAGGTGCAAGTTTGAGAATTAATAATAGGAACCATGCTTTATATAGTACTAGTATCATTATATAGAAGAAGTCAATGATGAGCAATTAGGCAAGAAACATGCCTTCTTAGCTCTGAACACTTCAACACTAATAATACAAAACATTAATAAAATTCCATTTCCCCTCTCCTTTAAACTTAACAAGTAAAAGATTGATTTTTTTTACTATGTGCTACTTCTATATATCAATTAGACAATTATATACTATTAGTTGACAATCTATGGATTTTTATATTATATACTATCAGCTGTACAAATTGTACTTTTTTTTTTTTTTTTTAAATTTTTGAATAAGTACAAATTGTACTTCGAATATAAGAACACAAAAATGATGGATAACATAAGGATAATGATTGATAGTTGACTTTTTATTTTTGGACAACATTTTTTTTTTTTTTTTGATAACAGGTTGACATTTTGTTTTGGTTTTAGAAACATGAACGTTTTCAAAAACAACTCACCAAAATTTAGAATTCAAGATTTTCTGAAAAAATTCAATTTACCAAAAGAACAAAAGTGCATATGTACAACGAATGGCTCTGAGCAAACCTTTGTAAACTCTTTTCCGCAAGACTTAATCGCCTTGGCGGAACATGATCTCGTTTGATTTAATCTAATTTGCTCCGAGAGCTTCCTTTCAAAAAAAAAAATGCATATGTACAAGTACAGCAGTACAAATTTATGTTGTTATATTATAGCAACATGCCAATAAGTATAGACTCCCTTTGGGTTTTTTAAGTGTTACACTTTGACCAAACGCACATATTAAGACACAATTTTAACCATAATTTTTTTTTAATTATATGTTAGTATAAATAATAAAGATTTTGATATTATAAAAGTATTTATTGTGACGAATTCAACAATATATATTATACAATAATTACATTTGTAATTTATATACTTTGTACTTCCTCCGTTCTTTTTTACTTGATCTGCTTTGACTTTTACACTATTCACCACCTCCTTTTTTGACCATCTTTTATAAATAATATGTAAGGAAAACATATTTATGTGGGATCTTTTTGAATTCGTCTCAATATGTACTATCATAATATATAACTTTTATTATTTTTACTTATGGAGAATTAAAGTTATTGATCGTTAAAGCTTTGCATTGATAAGCGTGATTAAATAAACAGGTCAAGTAAAAAAGAACAAAGAAAATATTAGTTAAATAGCCAAGTCAAAACCATTACATGAATTGTACAAAAAGGCAAAGTGTAACACTTAAAAAAACGGAGTAAGTATATAAGGTTGTGACCTCCCCTTAGAAATTTATCAGCACTATATTTTTATTTAATCATGAATCTTGAGGAGGGCGTGCATATTGTTGTTTCTACTCTAGGAATTGGAGGCTCAAGGATTTGCTTGTAAAGAAGTTAATGAATCTTGATAACAGTATAAATGTATGTTTGGATGAAGCTGATCGTTTGCTCGATTTAGGTTGCAAGGATGATGTTAAGGAAGTCTTTGGTCACTTCGAAGAACAAAAGGCAGACAATCTTGTTCTCTGCTACAATGCCAGCAAAGATCCAAAACTTTGCTAGAAGCGCGATGGTTAAGCCTATTGCTGTTAGTGTTGGTAGACCCGGGGTTGCTAATCTTGATATCATCCAAGAAGTAGAGTATGTGAAACAGGAGGCCAAAATGGTTAACTTCTCAAATGCTTACAGAAGACTCCACTCCCGGCTTTAACATTTTGTGAAAACAAAGCTGCCGTACACGAGTATCTCTGATTGAAAGGGGTTGAAGCAGTTTCCATCCGCGGGGGTAAAAGTCATGAGGAGAGATAGTACGCGATAAAATCTTTCAAAGCAGGGCAGAAAGCCAGAAAGGTGTCTTAGTAGACAGACTAGCCACTGATGTGGCCTCAAAGGGGCTGGATTTTCCCCACATCCAGCATGTCATCTACTATGATATGCCTGCAGAGATTGAGAACTATAACATCGTATAGATCGGACAGGAAGACGTGGTAGAACTGGAGTTGCATCGACATTTATAAATAAAAACCAAAGTGAGACTACACTGCTTGAGACTACTCCTGTACTGACTGAACTAGATGATCCAACAGCGGATGAAACAGAGTCAATTGCCTTAGTGGAGTTAAAAGTTAAGCGCATTTGGACGGCTTGGTCATAGGATTCAAAAGTGTCCTGAATTGGATTTTCAAAATTCACTACTTGTCAATTCTAGGAAGGATTTTGGTTGTGGTGGTTATAGGGCTGAAATATGAATTTGTTCTGATCTCAGACAGTTATATGCACAGAGTATCCTGTTGAATAATTAGTATGAATATTATGTATGGTAAATAAAATTTTGACATTATTTTGTATGTAAATCTTTTAGACGAGAGGTGGTTGAGATCTGATAGTAGATAGATTCATAGATGAACCAACTGTCTATGTAACAAAGATTGAAACATAATATGAACATTTCAAAAAAAATTTAATAATAATAAAAAATTAAAATAAATTAAAATAAATAAAATAAAATAAAGAACAGATCTAGATTTGTCACAAACAAGCTCTGTAACACTTGCGTTGAAGTGTTGATTGAGTCCAAACAAATCGTCATATGACTCATATCACCATAATCAAGATCAATACTCCATGAGAAAATTGCTATACAAAAAAATTATACTTACTGCTTTAATTGTTGAGCCTGGTTGCAATTTACATACAAAATCTTAAGCAAGACATTTCAATATGGTAAAAGAACAAAAGAAAGAATTAAGAAACAAGTATAGAAAGCATGCAAATCAAACTATGCAGCGCGATCAGAATCACCAGTTGAAGCTAAGGTATTCGAAATGCAGGTTGGTTGCACCACACCCTGAACAAATTCTTGCAACATCATGTCTTAATCCCCTTGGTCCTGAAGCCATGACTCCCACATCGTCTCCTTTGGACTCCAGCAATATTTCTGCCCAAATTCCAAACAAAATTTTAACTGCTATTCGAAGACAAAAAAAAAAACATTTTTTTTCCTAGTCTAAAACTTATTTACAACCCAAGATGGCCAAGAATATTCATCTTTAAGAAGGTATGTGTTTGATACTTTGTAAATTTCAACTATGAGCACATAGTCATTAATATGAATGCAATATCATTTGTTGGTTCAATACAGGAATGCACTATTATTTGTCAAATTTGATTGATATCAATGATATAATTAATTGAAATGCTTGATAGCAATATTATTAATTCAATTATAACACGTTTTGAAAACTTGTACTCCTATATAACCTTGTATGACATGACATATATGAAGAGGTATGTAAAATTTGTAACAGCCACGTAGTATATATAGCAATAACTTACTCTGGAGATTAGGCCTTCCTCCATAATGCACCTGAGTAGCTTGAACAAGAGACTGATAGGGATGACTTTCGAGCTCCCCGCCCCCACCACATAACCAAGATCCTGGAGAAGTCATTGGCGTAGGCACCTCCACATTCATGATCTGCTTCTCTTCTAACGCGGCCATTTTCTTCTTTTGAATAAAAAAGATAATGCTACTTATGAAGATAATGCTAATGCACATAAGAAACATATCCCAGACAACCCAGCTAGTGAAGTCATATAAGCTGTTGGTGTTTTTATCTATGGGGTAGATATAGTATTGAGTCACTATGGCAAGGAGGATAAGAAACAGAACAAAGGAAGACGCGATAATGAGGCAAAGGCAGAGCCAACTGTTGTGTCCCAAAACCGGAGTGATGGGTGAGTCTAATGGGCTAGGTTTAAACCACTTGGTATGAACTAACATATCCTGGCTATTGGATGCAGGTTGTGCTTGATCCTCTCGAGTCACGTATGCCTGAATTTCAAGTTGGATATTTGAAAGATCAGCTGGAGAGCTCTCAGCAGGAAGCAAGAGATCGAGCATGGTGAGATCAGCCGCATGCTTGAAGGCACATATAAGGACAACTTTTGGTACTTTGCCTTTTTGGGTATTTGATTGATGTATAATCTCTCGAATTATGGATATATATGGGGTCATACCACTTCCTCCACTGATCAACACCAAACTTTCATGCCTGGAAGAAGGAAAAGGTTTTAGATTATAGAATTTTATAATTAAGCTGGCACGTAGAAAATATAACCATCCACCATCCCTTCTCAATTCTAAGTATTTGATGGAGTTAATTCAATCTTTTGCACATTACAAAAGAAAAGAATTAGTCCTAGGCCAATGTGTGTTCTCCTCAACTAATTTTCACTAATGAAATATTTCAAAAAAAGCAGAAATACTGAAAACTGAGATAAAATCCGCATAAGGATTACCCAAGCTTTTTCCATAACTATAATTAGATCATCATAAAAGTTTTTTGGAGAAGAAAACACATCCTAAAAAGGTCTATACTTTGGTAGGCATGGTAGCCCGAACCCAATGAAACATTTAGGGGCATACTAGAAGCTGAATCTATATCAAATCGCAACTTCTTTGAACATACAAAATTGAGCTAAATTTTACCACTTTACTTACTTGATGAAGCTGGTAGAAGCTGGACCATATGGCCCTTCAACAGACACTTCAAGCCTGTCTAGAGAAGAAGATGACAGTTCTTTGTATAGCTTGGTTGTCCAACTCCCTCCAGTCTTGAACACAATACTTAGCCTATCAGGTTCCATGTTATCATTTGAGCTCACAGTAAAAGGGTGCCACTGTAACGAGGAAATTTTCGGCACACTCACGAATAAGTTACTTGCGACATTGTAACGTAAACCTGTAAAACAAAGTAAAATAGAAGATTTAGCTTTTTTTATCTCAACAATCACTCTAAAGTTTTTGTTTCTGAAAGAAATACTTCATAAGTTCTACAATGACTCCTATTTTAGTATTTTGATTGTCATTTACAATTTTATTAGTCAATAAAAGATCATTGCATGTTCTCTTTGACTAACAAAAATAGTATACAGTAACAATTCTAACAAATGAGAATTAATTTTCCGATCCTACTCCGAAATTTGATTTTGACACTTTCATTTATAAGTCAGACAGAAGTGTGAGGCCAAAACCAATCTAATAGTGTATAAATCACTACCGGTGGATTAGCAAAAATCAATTGTAGACAAATGTTTAAAGTTTGACAATCACCTCGACTTTTGGAAAATGTCATCTCCACAGTCCCACCCGGAAGAACGCGAACTGAGGTTAACCTTGCACGAGAGCGTGACTGTAAGAACCTTAGGTATCGATCGAGTGTGAAGAGGTAAATTCCAGGAAGGAGTTGCATCGTCCAGGCAGCTCCTATGTGCACGACGTAGAAAAAGGTGGCTAGGGCGTAAAGTTGGTGAGTGTAAAAGAAGACTTCGAACGACTTTCTTCTGGTGTATGCAAAGCTTGTTATCCACATTGCTATCAAGAAAACCCAAGATATCTCTCCTGCTATATTTGACACATGAGTTTTGCTCCATTCAAGTGCCTACATAGCAGAAAACCCTTGTTAGCACCAATTACCACAATAATATGCCTTAATAATATAGGCCAGGTTAGTTTGGCTTCATTCTATTCATCTGAATTTCCCTTGTCAAAACTAATTAGCTTTAGTCTAAATTAGTAGATTTGAAATAAGTGGCCTGCGCTAAACTTTTGTTTACATTAAGCTTTGAAATGAACTTACCAGATACAATTGGCTAACTATAGCCCAGTAGATGAAAAATCCAGCACTGTGTAACGCTGAAGTTATCATGACTACTTGCCCAATCCATATATGATACTTGATGCTAGACTCAGATGTGAGACCAACCAAAGGCAAAAGTGACGACAATCGTATTACAGGGAAGAACACAAAGGCCCAGGATATGTTTGAGGCATAACCAAGTCTCAGTGACACAGTCCGTAATGTAATTTGCCACCTGAAAATCGAACAAAAGAAGAAAAGAAAAAAAAAATGAACACAAATTCTCCGGTGTTAGTAGTAGCACACTAGTACGTAATAGAACTAGCACGAAAATAGTAAGTTTCACACGTACTTTTTTTGATGCTCACGGCCATGCCCCATGAATGGATGCTTAACACTGACATAATAATAATGGCCAAAATGCCAGCACACAAGTGCGATCCCCATAATCAAAAACACGAGTTCCATTGCTGTAACCACCCCTAGAGGTCCCATAACTAGAAGAGGACGTCTCAACATTGCCAGATGCGTCTGAGGTGATGAAGTCCTATGTACAAAGATGATTGATTCTGTTAGCTCTTTGATAGACAGAATCATCAACTTTATTATAAAACAACCAAAAACCGAAAAAGAAAAAAACTGCTCTGCTCAAATTTAATTTAAGCCATACACAAACATAATTGTTAGATGTTTGATCAATATGAAAAGGCCGAAAGGCTAATTGTTGGCAATCAACCCAAAATCAAACAAGGCCATACCCAAGAGCAATTCTGTCACATATTAATAATAATTATTGAAAGGGCATGTTGGTACAATGTACGTAGCAGTATAACACTATAATTAAACATACAATGTAAGAAATGAATAAACCTTTCCAAGGAAGATTCTCTTTTATCCTTCAGATGAAGGTAAAAGCAGCCGAGAACCGCGATCAACATCACAGGAAATGTAAGGAAGAAAAGATTTACTCCTGCAAATAATGAGGTTAATCATTACATTGATTCTAACTATAAACACATGCAAAGTACAACATCAATAAAAAATTTAAGCTTGGTTTTATACCTTGCTCTCCAATGTATGTTGGATTGAAGGATTCTGCTAGTTTGGGAAGCCAATTATACTTGAAAACTTCCAAAGGTAACACAATCCATACCACCATCCATCCAAGAAAAACCAGCAGACATGTTAGCTTCAGCAATGCAAGGCTGCTCATTGATCTTTTCGTCTTTAATTTCTTAACAATAATTCACCCGTTAATTTCAGTAGTATATGCTTTAAACAATGTACAATTCTTTTTTTTTTTTTGTTTTTGATGAAAATAGTTTCTTACAAGACATATATATAGATGCAAAATTAATGTAAGTCAGCTTTGTTGTTACATCATCAGGAAATCTTGCAGTTTATGATGCTTAACCAGAAAGGCATGATTCTTGCAGTTTGTGACTCCTATCATATAACATATACAAAAATTTCCAATTTCAATGTTTAATTATCAAATAAAGACACAGTTCTTCAAAAACATATAAAAAATTTGACATATTTGCCAAGTCAAAAATGAGTGGACTTCAATTCAGGCTCTTCAAATTATAGTGGACTATATGTTTTACAGCCCCAGATTAATGAAGTCCACCCAATGTTAATATAGACTCAAGTACATTAATACATGTGTGTGACGCAAGTAGTCAAGTACATGTCCTAGGGTTAGACACAGCTACTTTGTGGTAAATAGTCAAGTGCTTAAAACCTAGACACATTAAGTTTCAAATTATAGAGGACTATATGTTTTACAGCCCCAGATTAATGAAGTCCACCCAATGTTAATATAGACTCAAGTACATTAATACATGTGTGTGACGCGAGTAGTCGAGTACATGTCCTAGGGTTAGACAGCTACTTTGTGGTAAATAGTCAAGTGCTTAAAACCTAGACACATTAAGTTGAAGTATAACAATCAGACGAAGAGTCCAAATACAATAGAATTACCATACATCTCTCTAATATATTGCTTTGACATCTTGCATGTTGGAGATATTTTGTCTAAAAAGATGATTAATCTATACAGTTGAATAAATTAATACTACACATCATAAGAGAATGATTCAGGGATCCTCAAATACAACTTCCATTGGATGTTAGTACAGTTGACTTGTGAGTTCTCAAATAGTTCTGTACTATAAAGTAGTACTACACATATACAGAGCAATCCTGGATAGCTTAAAAAATAATTTTATGAGAAAATGACAATCTTTCATTGATTCACCTATCCAATCTCTATTATTAGGGACATGCACTACTTGTACTAAAGCTTTGACTAATTAAGCCTCATAGATATAATAATATATATATACAAAGAGATTGACTCAGAATATGGCCCCTTGAGAGTAAAAATAATTAAGAATTATAGTTTGATAATAACTTTTTTAAAAACATAAAAAAAAAAAAAATTGGTCTAGGCTTTCAAAATTTTGAGGTTGTTTTAGTTATTGTCTCAAGGAAAGACTTTAGTGAAATGTATATTAATTAGTGACAAATTGTACATCATACGTAGTAATATATTACTAAGTCCCATTATTTTTTTTTTTTTTTTTTTTTTTTTTGAAGGAATTACTAAGTCCCATATAAACCAAAGTCAAAAAGCCTAAAGCCATAAAACAAAAAACCTTGGATCTATAAAATCACTCGATTCAAATAACTAATAAAAAAATTATCATAAAAAAAAGCTCGGAAAACCATGCCCATCATAAGTCACAAGAAACAGAAAACCCAATTATCAAGTTAGCATCGCCATCAAAGAATTATAACATCATTTCTGTTCTATGTGTAACGCATCTCCCTATCAATAGTAAATATTCTTAAGGTGCCTTTTATGAAAATAATCCATAGAGCATATAAGTTGCATTTAAAGCAATAAATAGATCATACTCAGGATCAGACTTCCTACTTTGATCAATCCTTCCATGATTAGTTTCTTAGTGACTCCTCATTTTCTTCAGAAAGCTTCACGGCCCCTGTAGCATATATTATCAATCATCATTTTAGAAGAAACAACATTAATCAAGCCACGAAATTCAACTCCTTAAGAACAAAATAATTCAGCAGAATATATACCCTCTTCGTTTCAAAATATGTACAATAAAGCTCCTTGACATGCAAATTTAAGAAAAAAGAGAGGGTAAATGGACAAATTAATTAAAGAAACCTCTAACCCAACCCACCCATTTACCGCTGTGCAACTTATTTAGTTTTAATCTGTCTGTTTACCCTCTCTTAAACTGCATGTCAATAAGTAAGGTTGCAAGCATTATGAAACAAAAGTATATATTATGAAAAATAAATGACAAGAATAAAGATAAGAGTTCACCTTCTACCATGGAACGTGGAAGATAGCTTATTGTGGACAAACAAAACCCACAGATTTCAGGGTTGCTAGTTTGCTACTAAATCCAAAAGCTGTATTGAAATTAATGTAGATAAAAAAAAAAACATATTAGGAGGGGAGGGAAAGGAGGTGGTCTCTTTGTCAATATTAAATAATTCAGATTCCATAACTTATGAAGGATATTCAACAGAAATATACTCAGATAACAATCTACCATTCAAGCATTAGGTGTGTTTGTTAATTTACATGTGCTTAAGGACTGTTAATCCAACACCAATAGCAACAAAAGTTGCGATAGATATGCCAAAAATGCCAACAAGAATCCCAGGAATGATCAAAGATTTCCACCCTTTGGATGTGGCCATTCCTGAAGCTGTAGTAGGGCCTCCAATGTTAGCATTGGAAGCCAAAAGCAACAACTTAAGATCAAAGTTAAATATCTTCCCTAAACCTAGAATGATGAACAGATGGACCATAACTTGTACAAATGCAAACAAGAAAATACTTGGCGCGGTGTTGATAACACTCCAGATATTGCCACTTGCACCAATCACAACGAAGAACACCTATTATTGCATAAAAAAATAAGTCAATTCTGAAATGTCAAATCAATATATGCAAGCACCACTACTAAAATCTCAAGTCTTTCCGTAATCAAAACAAATCCAATATGGGAATCAATGTGGAAAATAACTGAGAATCTATAAATTAATATAGAGTAGCTTGGAAAGACATATTTTATCATGAAAATGGCAAATGGCACATGGTCAAATAAGACATGGAGTCCTATGAACAAAAAGAAATGTAGGCTTTTTTTTTTTTTTTTTTACCTGCATCGAAACTGAAGATATAACCTCTGCAGAAGGTGCAAGGTAGCTAAATACTGGGGGGCAAACAGTAGCTAGAATTACCATAATTGCTGTAGCTAGTGGAATAGTGCCTCCTTGGATTCCAGATAACTTTGTAATATAGGCAGCACAGCTGCATATAGCGAAGGATACAGCAATAGCAGTGGCAGTAGGTAGCGTATGGAACTTAATCTCAGTTTTACTCTCTGAAGTCACTGCAACATCTATTCAGCCAAAGTCAGTTTCTATTAGATGCAATCACTACTCTTATAGTAAATAAACATACCTGTGGTGGATTTTGAGACCTCGGGAGGTATTCTGGACGCTATTGCAAATAACACCATAAAGTAAACAGCACAAATGACATTGTCTGCAGCTACTCCAGCAGCCACATTTGATGGGGAAATGCCAAGAATCTCTGAAATTGCAATGTAATTGACAGCTGCAACATAAATCGTATTAAAATCATCACCAACTGATGATAGAAACTTGAATTAATATTTCCACAGTAAAAGTGTTCAGAGTTTAATTGCACAAAAATTAAAAGGTCTCCCTTAAACAACATTAGCTACTTAGAAAAGCATAAATATTAATTTGTATGATGTATTATTAAGGAAGAGGGGGGGGGGGGGGATCCGGGATTCCAATAAATATCTAGTAATCTATAAATAATTTCAGAAGACTAGTTCCAAATTCTTGTGAAAAGATCATCTTTAGATGAAGTATTACTGCAAAGAGGAGCACAGAAGCCATTCATCTCATTTTCTACGTTAGAGCCTACAAACATGAAATATCCATCAAGAGAACTCAGCAACAGATGCAATCACTTCTGGTCCAGGGGGGCTACAACAAGATAATGATCACAAACTGGCATCAAATGCCATATTCTTTGCAAAGAATAACTTTCATTAAAAAAAACAGGCTGCTTTGAACGGTAAACCTACTCTCAACTGACATCAGTGAATTGTAGAGGAGCATAGAACTTTAGGAGTGAATCATATAAATAAAATAATGTAGAAAATATTCATGAAGCTTAAAAGTTAGTGAACCACACCAATGGGATTAAACCTAAAGTTATATGTAAAAATGTGAAGCAAAACAAGCTTGCAATTATTGTTTCACATAGCTTACATCCACCAATGTAACTGCCCATGAGTGCAGTAGCAATTTTCCAACCATCAGCACCAAGCGAACGCATGGGAACTATAAAAAATGCAACTACTGTCCCAATCACTGTAGCCACTGCAATAAGAAGGTGAAACAAGCATTCAGGAGATGAGGAACTTAGGAATTGTAATGGGATACTATTTGACTAAAATTAACAAAACACTGGGTAATACAGAATTACATAAGCAATAATATCCCTAGAGCCCTTTAATTCTGTTTTAATGCATTATTCAGCAACTCGTAACAGAAATTAACCATCCTGACAGGTACAAATAGCTTCTACATAAGATAAGAAACTATAGTTTGCGAGTTTGTGATCCATTAAGACGATTTAAGGGTCCATTATGTTCAAATTTATAGTTTCAAACACAAAACAAAAGTAAATCTTTCTTTTGCCTTCCTCTGCATCAGTAGGAGATCCAGCAACCTATGAGATAGTCTAAACTGAAAGCACCATAAAATTTTATTTTAGTAATTACTCTGCTCACAAGACAGTCTAAAAGTCCAAGTATTTTTATGAAAATATATATACACCTCTTAACAAAAACAAACATACCCATTACTCATCAAATACACCATTGATCATCTGAAAGTTTCAGGAAGCATATATAATTGTTTTCTCTTCAATAACACAATAGAAGTTTAAACACATATATCTGCAAAATAGCACCACCTGATCCAAGCAAGAATGCCAAAAGTAACCTCCCAGTTGACTGAGCAAGCTGACGCATATTAGCTCTGAACAAGAGCAAACGAACAGTTAAGGGTAACAAGTATTCCAACACAATGGAATACGTTTTTGCTTCATAAGGAATGATCCTCAGATTACTTGCTGCAAGGCCAATCAAAATGCTCACTAGTGCAGAAATGATCATGCTCCCAATCTTTGTTTTCTCCGACCTTAAATCCCCAAAATACTCATTTGCCTCCATTTGATAGCAGATGAAATGTAATTAAAGCAAAAAACAATATCTAGAATTACCTTTCTCCTTTGAAAAGAAAAAAAGTACATCTTACCAACAATGTCATACATAGCAAACTGAAGTTTGATACGAACAACCCAAAATATGTTATGATTTATGACCCATCTCCAATCCCACCATTCAACTACATAGCCTTTTATCGACTTCATAATTAACAAATTGAAACCACAGGAGACAGTGGCATATTTGTTTTTATCTTTCTAAGTTATGTACATACATCCAATTTCCACAGAATTTGAATAGAGAAAGTTCGAGGTAACATCATTTTTGTTTTCAAATCAAAATTGAAGATGCATAGATTGACAAAGAATAATTGGAACAGTCCAATACTCCACTAAAATATACCAAAATTGAAAGTAACATCGTCAACTAGTGACACAATTTAAAATAGGCCAATTCTTTAAGTTTTTCAGCACAGATATCACACCTGATAATGCTAAAACCGGTAAATGTAGATGTTTTTTCAGTTCATTCATTAAAGAAGTCAACATGATTAACTCTCAGTCTCTCACATGCTTTTAAAGACGGCAAAGACTCGATCTCGTGACCTCATCATTATTATTACATATACTTCTGTAACTTCACTAACACAAATTATCGTCAAAAAATAAGCTAAACACATAAAAAGCTACCCTTATTTTTTTTTTTGTTTTTGGTAAAGAATGATAAGTTTTTTCCATATTTTGCTTACTTTTTTATATCTATTGACTAGTGCGGAGTACTCCCTCCGTTTTTTTAAAGTGCCCCACACCCTTGGGCACATAGTTTTAGGTAAAAGAATAAAATACAGTAGTATATAAGTGGGTATAGTTAGGAATAAAAAAATTGGAAAGGTAAGAGAGAAATATGGAGGGGACTATTAGGAATAATGTGAGAGGGAGAAAATATTACTTCCTCCGTTTTTAATAGTTGACACCATTTGACTTTTACACTATTCACTAACTACACTTTGACTAGCTTTTGTGATTTATAGCTATGATAAAACATAGTCAAGTGGGATATTGTTTGAATCGTCTCAATGTATATTTTATTAAAACCCACTTATTATAATTTTACAATGTCGTTATTTAGAGATATCAAGCATTAAAATAGTGCATTGGCAAGCGTGAAAAGAGAAAGGTGTCAACTAAAAAAACGGAGGTAGTATAAAAGAATAGTGAGGTTAAAAGGAAGAGAGAAATAATATACTCCCTCCGTCCCAATAATGTCCTATATTATAGTTCGCGCTTCCCTATTTTGGAGATCCAAAATGTTGTTCCTATTTCTATTTTTGGATAGTATGTAAAGACCATTATACCCTCATTTTTTTTACTTTATTCATCGAACTTCCTAATTTACCCTTAAATTATCCACTTGTATACTTTTTTCTACTTTCTCTCTCCAACTTTTGTCTCTAATTGTACTTTTCACTTTTTTCTCCTTAAATTAGCTTTATACTTTTGTCTAACTTTTGTTCACTGTTAATGTATTTCATCCACTTTTTCCTCTCATTTCTTAAATAACGTGGAAAAACACAAACACAAACTATAGGGACAGAGGGAGTACTTCGTATCATGCACACCCCCAGTGTACAATGCTCGCAGTGCACCTGTTTTTAAAATAAAAACCTATGTTATCAGATTCGAATGGGAAGAATATATTCTTTGGGGATTTGAACTATATACAAGTATTAATTAACAAATATAGGTCAACAGAAATCAGTCAAATCACCAATTAGGAAGCAATGCAATCATCAATGTTAAATTGTTAATTCCAAAGAAAAATAAAAATAAAATCAACAAAATTGAGTGTAAAAGTGATTAAAATTACCAGAAACTGAAAGCTCCAGTGGAGAAAAGAACAGACCATAAACCCCAGTGGTCATCCGGTGAAATGATTGGGCAACTGAAATTCAATTGCGAATTAATTCTTAAAGACGCTCTCAATTTCGTATTAGTAGATAAGAAATTAACATTATAGGATGAAGGAGAAGAATAAGAATGAAGTTTAGAGGATGAGAGAGTTGAATTATGGAAGATGAGTTTTGGTTTTGGAGGTTTAAGGAGAGAGAAAGGAACTACTGGGTTGCTGATGGACATGCTCAGTGACGCCATTAATTTGATGTTTGGTGATATACTGATATTGCTAGAGTGATGGTGGTGGAGTAGCTGGAAGAGAGGAGAGGGAAAGAAGCGGAAATGATTTTGGCACGCGTTTATGTGACGAGAGTGTAAACAACTGTGCTCTAGCAACGGGTTTGCAAAATCAATATTTGGAGTCCAAAATCAATAATCTAGAAAGAAAGTGGCTCTTTTATAACAAAATGCAGAAAAAATCATAATTCTCAATACTATTCATACTAGTAAATATCTTTCGAAAAAAAAAAAACAAATTCATACTAGTAAATAAAAAGTCAAAAATACCCTAAAGATGAACATTTCTATTATTCTTTGTTATAAATTTGGATTTTCTCGTATTGCTAAACCTTTTGGTTGTAGAGATATTATTAAAAGAGCAAAAAATCAAGTGAAAAAACAACGGATTTTTCACCAAATACCACCGAGTTAATGCGTAATTCACCATATACCACACAAAATTTTCTAATTCACCATATACCACTGAGTTAATGTATATTAACACAGAATGCCCTTTTTGTTAACTGTCGTTAGTCTGCCCTTAACGCCGTTAGTAATTAAGGTTAATTATGCCACGTGGTTGTCACATATTGGCTCTTATTAATATTATCTAATTAATTAGTTAAATAAAGAATTAAAAAAAAAGCCACCACCTCCTCACTCCACCAACCCCGACACCCCCTTCCCCCACCAGCCCCGCTCCCCCTCCCTGCCGGCGGCCTTGCCCAGCCTCCTCCCTCGCCGGCGGCCTTGCCTAGCCTCCTCCCTCGCCGACCTTCCAGAGCTCCCCCTACCCCTGCCATCTCCCCTTCCCGTCCTCCTCCCAAACCACCAACGTCTCCCAACCAACCACCACCCTATCCTAACATCCCCTGCTTGCACGAAATATGACTAGAACCCTCAGCCACCACCCTATCCCGCCCCCACCCACGCCGGCGCCCAACCTTTCTCTCGCCAGCGCGTCGGCCTCCTTCTCCCCCTGAACCGACAACACTCAAAATCTGCAACCATACAACATCAATTCGACTTATCAGCATTTTTTTCGAACAAATTCGCTTCTAATTCGACCTTCTCTCTCTTCGTCAAGATTTGATGGGTGGTTTCTTTGCCGTCGATATTCCAATTGGGATTTGAAAGAGGGAAATTGAGGATTTTTTTAGGGTTAGAGAGATCGGGAATCGGGGAAGGGGAGTCCGGCGAGGAAATCGGGAATTGGGTTACAGGTGGGGGATGATTTTCGGGGAAGGGGAGTAGGAGTGGGATGGTCGCCGGCGTAGGGGGAAGGGGTCGAGAATGTCGCCGGCGGGGGGAAGGGGCCAGGGGAGGGCAGTCGCCGGCCATCTGGGAAGTGGCTGGGATCGCAATTGTTGCCGCCAGGGGGATCGATGAAAGTTTGAAGCTTTTTGATTGATTTTGGGGTTCGATTTTAATGGAAAAGAACAGATAGAAGCTTCAATGGAAAGGGGAAATGGGGGTCAATTTTTTCAAACTAGAAAAATTATGTTTGGGGGAGTCAACCCTATCAATGGCGCCAGTTAGATGTATAAGGGCATAATGGTAAAGTCCCCCAAACGGCAGACTAACGGCAGTTAGCAAAAAGGGCATTTTGTGTTAATATACAATAATTGAGTGGTATATGGTGTATTAGAAAGTTTTTGGTGGTATACGGTGAATTATGCTTAAACTCAGTGGTATATGGTGAAATTTCCGAAAATACAAGTTGATCTTCATAAACAAGAATTGTTTATCTTGTGGCTAAATAATTGCAATTTTTTTTTTTACTGTTGATGAGCAAAACGCATCAAATCGCTACTTGAAATAGTGATTTTAGGGAAAAACCGTTATTTCCCTCTACATAAATCGTTTATCAAGAAGATCAATGGGGGCTCCCTCAAAAGACCAAGAAGTACGGAGTACTACCTGAACTATATTTGGTTTGGGTGAATCATCATTTAGGGCGAAGCCCCAATTTCTCAATATGTTTCTCAAAACGACATATACGTAATAAAATGAAGTATATTAATATTTTATATTTTATACCATAGTGACTAATGAAGTCTTATGAATTTACTTCACAAATGACTCGTTAACTTTAGAATGAAACTCTATTGAGCTTGTGTATGGCTTGATGCTTCCTAGGTGTTACCTAAGATTACTCGACTCCATACCCTTAGTTTGGCACAATCTAGCATTGGTAATATTGATTGAAAAAATTTACCAAACACCTTGGTTGGACTAACGAAAACGGTTTGTGGGATCAACTTAGAGCTCGGTAATTTCACGTTGGATAATTCTCGATTTTAGATATTCTGTGACCATTACTATTTTAGATTCAAAATCAACTTTTATGTAAGGAGTAATTTTTGATAAAAAAATTAATTAATTAATTAAATTTGATCATTTTTGAGCGAATGAGCGGTATTATTTTTGTATTCAAAACCTAGATTTTTCAGATTGGTTTTAAGTCAATTTTGGGCTGATATCAAGTCTATATTCTTGCGACTAATGCTTATGCAAGCTTACTTTTGAAAACATGTCAATGAAGAGTAAAATGGGTGACTGTGTTTGTATGACACCGAGTTATGGAGTAATAGACACAAATCACACAATCAACATATTTATCCAAGTTCTTTTTACCGTTGTGAACGCCATAAAAAATAAATTTAAAAATAGTCCTAGTTCTTTTTGGCAAAGTGCAATGAAAATTCACGCCAAACAGCCTTTCGGGTTAAATACAAGTCATGGCTGAGTATATATAACAAGTGAAGCAATCACATATTACAAGAATGTATGATACAGAAAATGAACAAAAATATCCTATACGTTGTTCCACCGGGATCAGATTACCAGTTAAAGCTAAGGTACTCAAAATGCAGGTTCTTTGCAGCATTACAAGAACAGATCCTTGCAACATCATGTCTCATACCCCTAGGTCCAGAAGCCATGACTCCGACATCCTGTCCTTTGGATTCCGACAATATCTCTGCAAAACAACAACCAAATTAAATCATTAAACTTTCATACAAACTGCTCCAAAAGAAGCCACAACACAAGATGAAGCACAACAGGAAAAAAGAGTAGTTAGTTCGGTTAGTACTTTTGAGATCAGGCCTCCCTCCGTAGTGCACTTTTGTAGCTTGAACAAGAGACTGATATGGAAGACTCTCCAGTTCCCTATCCCCACCAAGGCCACCATATAACCAAGATCCAGGAGAAGTTACAGGTGTTGGTACTTCAACGTTCATGATCTGTTTAGCTTCTGCTGTGATTTCTCTCTTTTGCAACAGAAAGACAACACTGCTGATGAGAATAATACAGATACACATCAAAAAGAGATCCCATAGGACCCAAATAGTGAAATTGTATTGGCGGTTTGTTCCTTGATCAATAGGATAGATATGGTATTGAGTCACCAAAGCCAGAAGAACAAGAAACAGGATGAATGAGGACACAATAATGAAGCAAAGGTGGAGCCATCCATTGGGGCCCAAAACAGAGGTGATGGGCAAATCTGATGGGTTAGGCTTGAACCATTTAGTCTGGACGAGCTTTTGGCTATCTGATTCAGGGGGCTGGTAATCTCTAGTTACATATGCATGAATTTCAAGTTGGATTTTTGAGATATCTTCTACAGCGTTCCCAGCAGGAAGCAAAAGATCGAGCATGGTGAGCTCAGCTGCATGCTTGAAGGCACAAATGAGCTGAACTCGAGGGACTTGTCCTTTCTGGATATTAGATTGATATATCATCTCACGAATTATGGGTATAAATGGGGTTATCCCACTGCCTCCACTGATCAACACAAGCGATTCATGCCTGGAAACAGGGAAGAGAAATAGTTGAGAACTCACATTAATAATACCCATAACACATTCAAATAATTCGAGTCGGTGGCAATGTAAAGAAAGGTGAAATGCACACAATCTCACACTGAGGTAAACGCAGTGACTGGGTAGAATTTTACAATAGATAGAAGCACAAATAGTTTAAAAAAACCATTTTCCATAATACCCAAAGTCAAATTGTGATGAATCTTTTGCGTCTACTGCAGGAACAAAAACAAGTTCTAAGCACATCTGAACATGTTAGGTGAGATTTTACACTTGGACATAGAGTTAGTAAAGCTAACCTTCGCTAAACCTAAACTATGCTTCAAATTATTGTGTCCAGGCTGACAGTTGCAGCCCGTTGTACTAAATAGGTTAACTTGATTAGCCCAAATTAGTTAATATCAATAATATCAGCTTGTTTGCTTGCTCTACTTGGTAATGACTAAGGTAAGACTCCCTATTTCAGATTCCTAAACCCACATAATAGGCGAGGTTCTTGCACTCCGATAGTGTTGTGTTCCTTAGTTCGATACAAAAGTGAAGCTATTTTCCCATAGGTCTTTTTGTAACACTATGTTTTCTGGTCTGAATTAGAAACTCATCAGTTTGCATACGCCAGGATTTATGAAATGAATCAGCTTGAATTTTAACAAAAAAATTTCTCACTAAACAATATTGGCGATAATCACAGTGGAAACCACCGATTACAACCTAACCAACATTCGAGAGGTTGGGACTCTCCCTAGCCAACATTCCAGAGGTTGGAGCTCTACAAAGTATCTCCATCTTAACAATATTCAACATCCTGATGTCTCCCTAATTAACTCTAACTCTAACTGGTTTCTTTTTCAAGCTTCTTGACAATCTATTTATTATGCAACTACCTAAATTACCCATTCCCCTAATATCTTATGATAGCAGAAATCCATGACATAAATAACAGCAATTATTCTTGTAGTAAAGTTGTGCGAACATTTTTTTATATAGAAAAAATGGAAAAACAAAAAGAACATGCAAATTAAGAATCTGAAAAGTTTGTGCCATACTTAAGAAAGTTGGTCGATGCAGGTCCATATGGTCCTTCAACAGACACTTCAAGCCTGTCTAGAGAAGATGATGAAAGCTCTTTGAATAGCTTGGTTGTCCAACTCCCTCCACTTTTGAAGACAATGCTGAGCTTATCAGGCTCCATGTTATCATTTGAGGTCACAGTAAAAGGGTGCCACTGTAACTTAGAAATTTTGGGCACATTTACAAATAAATTACTAGTGACATTGTATCGCACTCCTGAAAAGAGGGAAAAGGGGAAGTAATTAACCAAATTCTTTCTAAAAGCTTACTAAGAAGAGCTCATTCACACATGTTAGACAAATCTTCATAAGTCTAATTACCTGGACTCTTGGAAAAGGACAATTCAACAGTCCCACCAGGAAGAATCCGAGCTAAAATCAGCCGGGCACAAGAGCGTGATTGTAGGAACCTTAGGTATCGATCGAGTGTGAAGAGGAATATCCCAGGAACAATCTGCATAGTCCAGGCAACCCCTATGTGTATAACATAAAAGAAGGTTGCCAGAGTATAGAGTTGGTGTGTGTAAAAGAAGACTTCAAATGTCCTCCTCCTAGTGTAAGCAAAACTTGTCACCCACATTACCATCAAAAACACCCATGACATTTCTCCTGCTATGTTCGACACATAGTCTCTGGTCCATTCTAGCATCTGCAAGACAGATGATTCTATTACTACACACAGCTGAAATGTAACGGACAATTTGATATATGCTAGAAGCCTAGAATTACCATTAGGAAGAGCAAAGACTGTTCGATTGGGAAAAAAGCTTTCAGAATTCAGAGTGAGTTTTATTATCTATGAAATTACATTCTAAGAACACCAGTTATCGAACTTCATTTCTCTTTGTTTGGTCCTTGATAGAAAGTTAGAAAAGAAGAAGGGAGATGGAGGGGAAGAAATGAGGAAAGTAAGGGATGAGCAGGAAGATGAAACAACCCTTCCATTTAAGGGAGTTATTAAATTAATCCCCCAACTTTACAAACCAAACAGGAGAAGATTGATTTTCCTGGAAAAGATTTTCCTTCCAACCAAACACAGCCTTATAAAGAAACACAATTTAGTCACCACAATTCTACAAAAGATGGAGACAATAATACGATGAGGAAAATATACAATCACGTGCACAAATACCTCAGACATTTGGTTAACCATAGCCCAGTAGATGATGAAGCCAATGCTGTGTAGTGCAGAAGTTATCATGACTACTTGCCCAATCCATACATGATACTTGATGCTTGACTCAAATGTGAGACCAACTAGAGGTAAAATTGAAGATAATCGAGTTACAGGAAAGAAGACAAAGGCCCAGGCAATATTTGATGCATAACCAATTCGCAATGACGCACTTCGGAACTTCAATTGCCACCTGTGGAAACATTTAGTGATATTTAAAAGCAGATAAACTTTTCAGTTTCTTAGTAATGCAACAAGAATATCCCTCTTCTATATTTAATCACTCTAGCAAACCAGGATGCTTGGGGGTGGTGGGGGGAACCTACAGCCTTAGACTTTAAAAATCTCCATTCTAGATGAAGCGTAATATTGGAAATATTGGATGAACAGTAGATTCAAATCCAGCAGCCAAAAGTTCAGTACCATAGAAAGCGACAGAAATGTGAACAACTGCAGTAATGCCTATCAAAATAGCATCAAGAAAGCCTAACAGCAGATAGAGAGCCAATAATAAAATAATAGGAAGGAATTATAAGGTAATAACTATACATATGTAACCCTTCATATGACCTTTTCCACCGAGAAAAATAGGGGGGCTTCAAGAAAGTGATCAAACCATGCAGATGTTATATCAGAATTCAGAGCATTGTTTATGCCAAAGATTACCAAATTTTTATATATAAGCTTTATTCTTCATTTCTCAATATTCTGTTTATGTTCAACAGCCACAACTCTACCACTTTAACAGTGTGAAATATGCTTATACAATTTTGAATTGTTTATCTTTTAAGTCCTGCAGTAGCATTTTTGTTTAGTGATAGATAACTACAGCATATAAATTGTGCACATATATTCATGTTGAGGAGATTGGAGTTTTTGAAGGAAGATATGAAGAAGTTCTACTTACGGTTTTTGATGCTCTTGGCCACTCATCATGAATGGATGCTTGACACTGACATAAAAGTAGTTGCCAAATTGCCAACTTACAAGTGCAATACCCATAATTAAAAAGATGAGCTCCATTGATGTGACAACCCCTAGAGGTCCCAGTACAAGCAGTGGGCGTCTCAAGGAAGTGAGATGCTGCTGAGTTGAAGACCTGCAACAAAATTATCACAAAGCATACAAGACTAAATAATTTGAAAGGAAAGAGCCAAAACTAAATACAACTCAACAGGATTGTTGATATTATGCGTCAATAAGCAGGTAGTAACTATATTAAAAGATATGCTACGCGAAACACAAAATGGAGAAAAAACCTTTTTGAGGAGGCCTCTGTTTTGTTTCTAATATGAAGATAGATGCACCCAAGGACCGATATTAACATCATGGGAAACGTAAGCAAGAAAAGATATATTCCTGAAAAATAAAAAGGCAATGTGATTATTTACTGATAACCTGACCCCGACCCCCCAAAAGGGTGAGAAAAGAAAAGGAGGAAAAAAAAGAAAGAAGAAATTCATTTATGGGAAGGAGAGAATGGAAACCTTGCCCCCCAATGTATGATGGATTGAACATCTTTGATAACTTGGGAGTTGAATCATATTTAAAAAATTCCATGGGCAACACAATCCACACCACCATCCACCCAAGGAACAACAGAAGACATATTAACTTCAGCAACACAAGTCTGTTCATTTTCTTTTGGATATTCAGAAGATTGATTTTCAGATGGAGAATGCTGACTTCGAAGGTCGTACATATATATATAACAATAGTGAACCAGTTAAAAAATCTAGCAGATCTTGATAACTAAAATGGCATGTTTCATGCAGCTTTAGACCTAAAAGCATAAGAAACTATACTCCGTAACAGATAATAATTGAAAAGAAAGTTCTAATTTTGACAAGTAATTGTATAAAAAATTATTTTATGTATAAAGTCAAAAGATTTAAACCTAAATGAAAGCGCTCCCATCTGAAAGAAGGAAACAAGTAGTTAAAAGTTATAAGATAAGGGAGTATAATGTGGACGTGCTATAGTAAGAAATGCTAGTATCAGGATCACACGATGTCAGACCCAGCTTTAGCAAAATTTATATCGGATTGGAGGTAGTGATTGTCGCTGTTATTATTGTTTATTACTTTGTGTAGACTGGCAAGAGATTATATATCATGATAAAAAAATGTAATCAATCGTATCTATGGGAATCTCAACTAATTACAACTTCCAATAGTTAATACAGTTGACTAGTTTCTCTGGTGCAAGTGCAAATGTACTACACAATGTACTACATAACTACATATAGCACAATCCTGGATGATTTTACAGAAAACTATATTCTATCTTTCCTTGGAAAATGACCCAGTAACGAATTTCCCAGATCCAGATTCCCTTATAAGATGACCTGATATTAGGAGCTTAACTAGTTAATCAATAAAGCATGTATATTGACCATGTCCACCCTTTCAAATGAGTAAAATTATCAGTTGACTTATAAGAAAAATTTATCAGATGATTAAGGCCAGCACTATTATAATTATTTGTCAATATCAGTTATGAGTCTTATGACAATATGAGAGCAAGCACAAATATGTCTATATAATCACTAGACTCAATATAATACGTAGTAAATGAACAATAATTGATACCAAATAAGCTAAGAAAACCATACCCAAAATAAGTCACAAAAAACGGATGACCTAATGATCAAGTTTAAATCGCTAACAAAGAAGTATATCATAATTTCTTCCTTCTATATTATGTAGCACATCAAAACTAGAAATTTTTACAGTGCCTCCTGAGAATATTATTTATAGAACATATAACTAGCATTTAGAACAATTGATAGATCATACTCAGGATCGGACTTCCAATTTTGACCAATCCTTCCATGAAAAGTTTTAAGTGAGTGCTCAATCTTCTTTGAGATGGAAAGCTTCACAATCCCTGTCACATGATTAGAAAAAACAACACAGCTCGAGCTGCAAAATTAAATTCCTACTGACAAAATAATCAATTGAAAATATACATATGTTTCAAAATACTTGCAACCAAGCTCCTTGGCACACAATTTATGAAAAAGAGAACAGAGGGTGAATGGAAAAATGAACTAAGTAATTTATAGCCTTTATAACCCAACCCAACCCTCTTACAGGTGTGTGAGGTGTTCCAATTAATTTGTCCATATACCTTTCTTTTCTCGTTCTTATATTACATGTTAAAGAGTTTGGTTGAAAGTATTTTGAAATGAAAGAAGTCTATAAGTATTCAAAATAAATTAATAATAAAGAAAGAAGCTCACCTTCTACCATGGAAACTAACCTATAGAGGACAAGTTCTTGAATTGTTAGTTTGCTACACAGGCCAATACCTAAAAGTTATTTATTAAAGGGGGTGAGGGGGATGGTTTTTGTAGAAGGCAGATGATTTTGATTCCATGTTAACTTTTGCAGAATATTCAACATCAATATACTCAGATGACAATTTGCTATTCAAGCAATTATCGAATTTGTGAATTTAAATGTGCTTAAGGACCGTTAATCCAGCACCAATAGCAACAAAATTTGCAATAGATATGCCAAGAATGATCAAAGAATCCCAACCTTTGGCTTTGGCCATTCTTAAAGCTGTAATAGGGCCTCCAACATTAGCATTGAGAGCCAAAATTAACAGCTTCCGGTCAAAATGAAATACCTTCCCTAGACCTAGAATGATGGCCAGATGAACAGTAACTTGTACAAATGCAAACAAGAAAATACTTGCCGCGGTGCTAATAACACTCCAGACATTTCCACTTGCACCAATCACAACGAAGAACACCTATTATTGTATTAAAAATATAGGTCAATTCAAAATGTCAAATCAACATATTCAAATTATATACAAGCACCACAAGTAAGAACTAATACTTAAGTCTTTCCATAATCAAAACAAGCCCAATACAGAAAACAATGTACATGAACATATTCCTCTCAAAAAAAATTGCAGATGAACAAATAATTGGAAGAGACTAGTTACAAATAATGCAGTGTAGCAAGCAGAAGAAATTTTAAAATTTCTTAGCAAATCTGTCCAGTGTTTTAATTTTCAAAATCTTTAAGCTTCAAGTCAGTAGATTAAGAAACCCCTCCAACAACATTAGGTATAACAGAAAAGCATACAAACCAAGTTTGGAGAGAGTGTGTGGTAAGGTAAACTATCTACATTGCAAGAAAGAGGGAGCAGATCAATGACTCAAAACTTACAAAAAATTTATTAATAACACCCATATTTTTTGCTGGAATCCAACATATGGTGTTAAGCTTAATTTCGACCATTTCTTTTTAAAAAATATTTTTTTAATAAGGTGAAAATGGGAAGATAAGGTGTAAAAGAGGAAGAATAGAAAAAATATGGGGAAAATCCCAAAAAGATGGGAAAACTATGGGGAGGGATGTTTGACAGATTTACATTTTGGAAGCTCGGGGGTCCGAGGTGCTCGTTTTTTGGGGTTCAAGGCTTGTTATGCGTTGGTAAAGGGGCAAGGTGATTATGGGAAGATTGTTGTTTGTGTAGGTAATGAGAGGCATTGTTTACATAAAATATGCTCGTGTTCAAGTAATTTATTTTTATTCATAAAATATAGTACTAATTTGCGTAATTTATTTGATGAAAGGAGGAAAATTCCAAATCAATGGGATAAATAAGGGAATGTACTCCATGTAGGGAGTAAAATGTGATGATTTTCACCCGTAATGATTGTTCTTGTCAACCATGAGATTAGGTCTCAATCATAATGGATACTTACACGAACAACATCAACAAACGTAAACAACCAAAGTCAATCATTGTAATGGTGTGAGTAATGCCAATACAATATTAACAATTCCATGCATCAACAATGGTAAGTAATGGGTGTATTTGGGTTTGATAGCACAATGAAGGATTCTCAAGGATGCCAAGTTGATAGTTGGAACCATCTCTTACATCTCTTAACTACTAATAATACAACATAATTTTGAAATAGTCCTATAATTGAACCAAACTTGTTATTGAGACTTTATAGACCTATTGTTAGACCAATATGGATACTACACCAACTTTTATGACCCCGGGGAAACCATCTACATTCACTTTAATTTTCGGAAGAAAAAAAAAACTCAAAATTGGTCCAAAAGTATGGATTATAGTTTATACCCTTCAATTTTGGACAATTTTCCACTATTTCTCGAAAGGAAAGAGGTTTAGGTGTTTCCCAAGAACCTCACAAGATTCCAGGAGGCCATTTGGGTGGTTGAAACCATCCACTTTGCCTTTGATGTCAATTTAGCCGGTTATATACACGTCTCCCTTCATTAACTCAAGGCAACCGTAAGCCTTGTTGTGACCAATTGGTGGCCTTATATGGCTCTTAACAATATGATTTGACCCTGTGATGCATCCCTTAACATTCACTTGAATTTTGAACATTGGGTCCCAAAATTTACAAAAATGGTCTGATTTCATGTGAAGATTAATTTCGGATCCGACAAGGTTATGTGTTTATGAATTTTCGACATTGGGTCCCAAAATCTTCAAAAATCCACCTTTTCTCTTAAACTCGGTCCATTTTTTACACTCTCTTACTTTATCCATCTTTTGCTTAATTACACACACTCGCTACATCTACATTATCTTTCAAATTGCCTTAATTTGTGTGCAAACCGCAAATACAAAGAACATTGAGAAACGAAAGCAGCATTTTGATATACATGCAGTCGGAATTCGATTTCAAGTCTTAAATTAAACTAAGTCAACCTCTACAATATCCGCATTTCAACGTATTATTATAATTTAGGATAACCAAAATCAGCAACGCAATATTCAATGTCAACTTCAAAGCAATCTTAAATAAAAAATAAAATATTAACCAAATCATTGAAAAGTGTAAAAGAGAATTTATTACCAAAGACTGAAAGCTCCAGTTGAAAGAAGAACAGACCATAAACCCCAGTGATCATCTGGCGAAAAAATAGGGTAATTCAATTTAAATTGCGATTTAATTCTAAAATATGCACCCAATTTCGAATTCGTAGTTAACAAATTACCACCATACGAAGAAGAAGCTGCAAGAATGTCGGAAGTATGAAATTGAAGTTTAGACGACGAGAGAATTGAGGTATGGAGGATGAGTGTTGGTTTTGGAGGTTTGAGGAGAGAGAAAGGAGATTGTTGCTGGGGATTGTGGTGACTGACGCCATTAAAATTTGATGATGTGCTGATACCGGAGAGTCGACTGCCTTTCTTGCAGGGAGAAAATGGGCCAAATATTTAGCAACGGAGATATTTTTACAATTTTTTTTTAGGAAAAATTGTGTGAAATAATTACACCTTTACGCCGTCAGTTAAAAATAATCCCAGCTATGAGTTATTTTTAAATAATTCAACCTTAATACCCAATTCACTCCCTAATGGTCCCGAGTGATCAGTAACCGGTTGAGGAGGTAATTTTATTTTTATCAAATTTAATTTACACGTGTCACAATTTACTGAAGAGGTAATTTACACATGTCACAATTTGATTTGTCCAAAATAAAAATAAAAAAAAGTAAAGTCAAATAACAAAAAAAACCACCACCACTGAAGTTTCAGCCACCACCATCCCCGCCACCACCCAAACCCAAAACCCAGAACCACCACTGCACCAAACCAGACCCCAGCCAACCCAGGAACCACCGCCACCACACTAGACCCGAAACCAGACCCTGGAACCACCGCCACCAAACCAGATCCCAGCCAAGCCAACCCCAAAACCCCCTTCGAAAAATCAAAAACCCACCAAACCAGACCCCATGAAACTAGTTGGGGAGGTCGACACGTTCGGAATGGGGGACAGAGAAGGTCGCGCGTGGCCTGTTAAGAGACGGGGGAAGGGGAGGGGGCTAGGATCGGGACAGAAAAAGGGTTTTCGAGGGTAGGGGGTTGGTGATTCAGGGGAGGGGATCGGTCGCGACGTCAACGTCGGCGTCGGTGCTGTGGTTAGGGGCTGGGTGGCCAGAGCCGCGGGAAGGAACAGGCTCAGGTAGCTTGTGGGTGGTGGGTGGTTTTTTTTTTTTTCTTTTAAAAAATCTAACTTTTTTTATTATTATTATTTTTTTTTACCAATCACAGGTCGCCACGTGTAAGGTAATTACAGGCCGCCACGTGTAAGGTAACTTGTTATAGCAGGTTACATGACCGGTTGGGACCATTTAGAGCGGATTGGATGTAAATGTCGGATTATTTAAAAATAACCCAAAGGTGGGATTATTTTGGGTGGACGCCACAAAGGTGGAATTATTTTGGGCAATTTTTCCTTCTTTTTATTCTTTACGTTTTGAGTTTTGACCGTTTTAATTTTTAAGTTTTGACCTTTACGGGGTGTTTGGCATGTGGGGATGGGAATTTGGGGATTATAGAGTGGGAATGGGAATAAGTGATTGGGAATTCATAAAATAGTTACAATCCTTTGTTTGGTATGCATTTGGAATAACTTGTGTGAATTTTACTTAAATACCCTTGTCAAATAATTTTCTCTTTGTTATAATTAATGGCAATTTGGTCTTTTCACTCAATTTCTCAATTCCCATCTCTATTACCTACCCCCCTAGGTAATAAAATTATGAGAATAAACCTATTTTATTCCCATTCCCACAAAACAAACATGAGACTTTAAATTCCCATATATTTATTCCCGTTCCCACCTTCCAATTCCCACCAACCAAACACCCCCTTAATTACTTCCTCTAACCCATATAGTGGTTACTTTGTTAGTATCATGAGAGTTACTCATTTAGTATTACAGAGTTTACTCGGTCATTTTTATGGTTACTTTGTTCTTTTATAAGTGGTCACATGCCACATGGTATGGCCAGCCACACACAAGACGAGCAGATTTTTTTCTTTATTTTTTATGAAATTAAAGTAAAGCTTTCACCAACATGCAACGAATTGAAATTTGGCTAAAAAAGCTTTAATTTGGGCTATAATAAATTAAGGTTAAATTTTAATTTGAACTAAAAAAATTAAGGTTGGCAATTATGTTGAGGAGAAACCTCTTCAAAAAGGAAAGTTGTTTTTATAGAAAGTAAATGACGTAACAAAAATATGATTCTAGGTAAAACTCCAAACTAATTTGAAACTGATTGGAATGGAAACTGGATTCATGAACATTGATGGACTAAAGTTTGGATTGACATTTTAAACTCCTACCCGGCTAGAATCTCACAGGTCAATCTAGCCCGAGTCAAAACTTAAAAAGCAAGTACTTAATTGAAGTTTATTAAATTGCAAGCAATCAATCAATAACATAATACTAAAACAGACACCAGAAATGATACGTGTCACTTCCTGGTGCTGTTTTTTCCCTCCAAAACTCCCCCCTCCTTTTTTTTTAAGCAAAAATCTTTATTTTTAGAATATTTGTATAATACAATTATAATAATATATTATTTAATTTTATATATTATTTTTATAATCATTGTATTCCTTTTTATTTCATGTTCTATTTACTTAAAATAGTTATACAAGATTTTGAGATCTTTTAATTAAGGAAGAATAAACTATAATTTAGAAGGTTGATAAATATGGTGGAGAGTATAAAATAACGGAGCCAAAAATACAATATTAACATTTATATTACTATTATATAGTTCTACAATAGTGGATGAAAAAAAAAATTATTTTTATTCATGACTTTGATTTGAAATCTTATGAAATAATAATAATTAACTTATACCTATTTTTCCTCCAAAACTCCCCCCTCCTTTTTTTAGCAAAAATCTTTATTTTTAGAATATTTGGCTATTTCACCAAATGCCACTAAGTAATTGCGAAATTCACCAAATGCCACCGAGTTTTAAGAAAATTCACCAAATGCCATTAATGACTAACGGTTGTTAGTTAACCGTTAGTTGACCCACCCCTTGCCACGTGTCACCTTCTAATTGGTCCGTTTTTAAAAAAAATTAAAAACCAAAAATATTTTTATGTTTTAATTTTTTTTTTAAATATACTATTTTTGTTTTTTTTAAAAAAATATTTAATAAAACATGCTGCCACGTCAGCCAGAGCAAGGTCCAGCCAACGCAGCAGCAGAAGCGTAGCAGCAGGCAGCAACCAAGAACAATCACAGCAGCAAGAGGCTGAATTTCCAGACAACGCAGCAGCCAACGATCGCAGGAAAAACGCGAGCCAACGCAGCCAGCCGAAACGTCAGTGGGTTCCAACGCAGCAGCCAGGAACAACTTCCAGCCACCAAACGCAACCACGCCACGGTGCCGCGACGAACAAGAACGATGCGACCCAAAATTCGAACAATTTCAAATAAAATCACGATTTTCTTGCGGTTTGATGTTCGATTTTAATCCCAAAACAAGATTTTGGTATCAATTATCAATCTTATTGAATTAATTTGATGATTTTCATTCAAAATCAAATTGGGGAAAAAGTTAGGGTTTTTTAAAATTTGAATCAAACTCTTTGATTTCAAAACGAAAATAACAATTATTTACATGATTTTTCAATTGAAATCAAAAGAAAACAAAGCCCTCAATCAATTTCGACACAACTTGACGAATTGAAGATCAAAATTTCATTGTTCTTCCTCTTGTACGAACGAAAATATTCCCCTTTCATTGTTCTGGTCAGATTTTGCTCCGCCAAGTGGTGGCTGGCTAGGGTTTCGTGGGTGGGCTTGTGGCTGCTGGGATATGGGGTTTGTGGGTTTTTTTATTTTTTATTTTTTGTAACTTTTTATAAAAATATTTTTGGTTTTTAATTTTTTTTCATTTTTTTTTAAAAAACGAACCGATCAGAAGGTGACACGTGGCAAGGGTGTGTGTCAACTAACGGTCAACTAACAACCGTTAGTCATTAATGGCATTTGGTGAATTTTCTTAAAACTCGGTGGCATTTGGTGAATTTTGAAAAGTTGGATGGCATTTGGTGAATTTCGCAATTACTTAGTGGCATTTGGTGAAATAGCCGTAGAATATTAGTATAATACAATTATAATAATATATTATTTAATTTCATATATTATCTTCATAATTATTCTATTTCTTTTTATTTTGTGTTATATTTACTTAAAATAGTTATACAAGATTTTGAGATCTTTTAATTAAGGGAGAATAAACTATAATTTAGAAGGTTGATATATATGGTGGAGAGTATAAAATAACGGAGCCAAAAATACAATATTAACATTTATATTACCATTATATAGTTCTACAATAGTGGATGAAAAAAAAAAACATTTTTATTCATGACTTTAATTTGAAATCTCATGAAATAATAATAATTAAGTTATTTTTCTGTTAAATATTTCTATAATAATTTTACCAACTAATAACTTTTTTTTCCTTCAAAAAATTAATAACTATTACTAAAATAGGTTATGCTTACATCGATAATTTTGGACATATGTCGCTATCATTAAAAAAAATTCCGCCAATACAATATATGATGTGAGCTTTAAGGTTTTTTTTTTTTTTGTTGTAATGATTCTACTTAGCTTATTTTTTGGAAGTACATTGTATAGTTTATTTTTTGGAATCAAATTAATTCATTAATATAACGTCATACGACATATAGTTTTATTGGGAATAACATGCATCATTAATGTAATATAATGTATACTATTTTTTTAATATTTTCAACTAACTAATCAAAACTAATTTTTATTTTTTTCTCAATTGTAATTTTAATAATTTTTGCCTTATCATTTCATCTTTCATATACGCATTGCATTTGTTTATTTTACACCAGTTGCTTCATTTTTATATTATATTATAAATTAAATGGGACAAAAAAAAATATTACTACAGTGCATCGCAGAGACACTAATCTAGTTAGGAAAAAAAATTAAGTTTTTAGTTATTATGGTTAAGAAGCCGGAGTGATGCTTTGATGAAATGAATTACTAATTTACTATGCCATTTTGTTGAAGTGGTCAAGCCTAAGAAGGCATGTTCCTTACATTACATGGGAATTAAATTCCCATAGAAAATTGCATTTCATGGGAAGTTATTTTCCTAATGAAATTCCTAGGAATTTCCTAAATTTGTTTGGTTGGCAATGTGGGAATTTAGAAATCCCATGAATTTTAATTGACCTAGGGAGGCTAGGTATTTACTTCCCTGTGAGAAGTTGAAATTCCCATGAATTTCCACTTCCCTCATTTTTGCTTTTTTGTGTCAACCTAACAAATCCTCAATTTATCAAATCCCATAAATTTCCACTTTCCCCAATTTATGTTGTCAACCAAACAAGGCCTTAATACGACGGCCTCTTCAATTTTAATGCGATGGCCTCTTCAACAGACTGATTATTAAAATATAAGTATATAACATGATGATTGTTATCTTTGTTCTCAAGCCTACTATACTTTAACATACTAGTTCTTGTACTTTAGCATATTATTATCTTTGTTCTTGAACGGTAGTTAATTACTCTTGAACTTCGAAATGGCAGTTGTTACCACAATCGTCTTGGTGATGCTTCTGGCAAATACAATTGGGGCCTTTGCCAATGATCCTGACATGCTTCAAGATATTTGTGTTGCCGATCCTACATCAGGTATATTCGAAGTGAAAATTTTGCACATTTCTATGTCAACTCGTTTTAAAGTACCCTTACTCATGTCAACTCATTCTTGTCTTGATCAACTTTACAGGAATTATGGTGAATGGGTTCCCTTGCAAAAATATTAGCATGATGACTGCAGAAGACTTCTTCTTCACCAGAATTTCTAAACCGAGCCAGATCGCCAACAACATCCTTGGTTCAAAAGTCACCGGGGCAAATGTTATGGACATCCCTGGTCAACACCTTGGGAGTCTCTATGGCTAGAGTCGACTTTGCTCCCTACGGTCTAAACCCACCTCACATACATCCTTGTACCACTGAGATGATCTACATTCTTCAGGGTGAACTGTACGTTGGTTTCATTACTACCAACAATAAGCTTGTTTCCAAGATTGTTAAGGCTGGTGAAGTATTTGTATTTCCAAGAGGCTTGGCTCACTTCCAGAAAAACACGTCCAAATATCCAACCGCTGTTTTAGCTGCCTTCAACAGCCAGCTACCAGGCACTCAGCAGTTTGCAGCTGCTCTCTTTGCTTCTAAAGATCCTGTGCCCAAAGATGTGTTAGCTCAGGCATTTAACATTGACGAACATGAAGTTGAGATGATCAGAGCTGGCCTTAATAATTGTTTAGAATTGCAATAAAATATCTTTCACTTTTCTGTGATTCTGCCTTAAGTTTTCCATTGTTTAGAACATTGTTCGTCAATCGTCATTGATGTATAATAACATAGTAATTCTGCTTGATAATATTCTATGTTATCTGACAAAGAAAATTATTGGATGTGGAGTCTATTATTTCTTGTACGTCCTTGAGATTTTCTCAAAACAAAACTTTAGCTGACTGCATTCTGCTGAGGTACTTGTTGGCTATGCAAAACTAAAGTTGCAAGACTTACAGCCACCAATTATATCTGACCGGAAATCTGCGGAGGTTGTTCACATGAGTCGGAGAAACATAGTACCAAATCCGTAACCAAGGAAAGTTGCTATGGAAATACCGAAAATTCCAGCAAGAATACCAGGAACTACCATGGAATGCCACCCTTTTGCAGTTGCCATTCCACCGGCTGTCGTAGGACCCCCAACATTGGCATTTGAAGCTATTAGCAATAGCTTCAGGTCAAAGCCAAAAAGTTTGCCCAATCCAAGAATCAGACCAAGATGGACAGAAATTTGGACAAGGCAAAACAAGAATATACTTGGTGCAGTGTTAATGACACTCCAAACATTCCCACTCGCCCCCACCACAGTGAAGAATACCTGTGTCAAAAACAATGACAAAATAGATGTCAGTAGATGAATAACCGGAATCAGTGAGCATCAGAAGTGTTGTACCAAAACCTTTACCATCCTAGGCCAGAAATTTTATTCAAGGTGTTTTTTAATTGATTAGATGATTGAGGAGAACAGGTACCTCAATGTGGTGCCTAATCGAATCACAGAAGAGCTAGCATGAAAAGCAGAAATCACAGGCAGAAAGACTCAGTACTACACTACATATCTGAATTTGGTATAATATGTCCCTAAGAAGGTACAGAAATTAACAAAGAAAACTGAGAGAGAGGCATCTAAAAAGTGTAGCTGACTAGCTGTTATACTAGGCAGTAGGCATGCAAGTAGATAGAAGGGCATAGATCATAGTTATATCCAGAAGTTGCAGGTCATGGAAAATTATCGCTAATTAATGACAGCATTAACATGCACTTTAAATATTTAAATGAGCTGAACTCAAGAAGTCAAGAGAAAACATCATTATCTCAAACTTCTCTGATTACAAGGGCCCAATGAAAGGTATTGACATTCCCTCCATCCCACAAGAAACGTAGTTCTAGAACATAATTCATAAGTTAGAATGTGGTTTGTGGCATTTTAAATCAACTGGTTAAAGTACTCTTATACTCCCTCTGTCCCTTAAAGATTGCACCATCCTATAAATTTTCACGTTATTAAGAGTTGTATCGACTATTAAGTGGATTGGTTGATTTGGATTTTAGTATGTGAGGTAGTAAATAAAGTAGAGGGGGAAGGTGGGATTGTACTAACAAAAGGGGAAGTAAGGCAAACTTTTAGGGACGATCCAAAAAGGGAAAATGGGGTAATCTTTAAGGGACAAAGAGAGTATAATTTAATTAAGTAGGAGATTAAATTGGGCATTTATAGATAGCGAAGTAAGTAAGTGTAGTAGCCAGTACTCAGTGGAAAAGTTTGTCAAAATCTTACACGGTTTCACTGTATTATAGAAACACATTTCCTAAATTAGTAGTGGTTTATTATTACAACTCCCAATATTTGCTACTTAAGCTAAATGATGAGGATCAAAATAAATAAATAAATAAATAAAAAATGATGAGGAGATAATAGGAATCACCAAATATTTTAGAGGATAATCTTGACAAATTATGTCATAACTAACTTATGAGGGTCATAACCAAAATTTATGAGGTGTTAGGATAATGTGACTATTAATTTTGGATGAAGAAAGTAGATCCTAAAACAATTATGTTTCTGAAAACAACACTTATTGAGAGATGGATGGTTTACATCAAAAACTTACACATGCATCCAAGACAATACTAAGCTTATGAAGCAAGAATTGGAAAGGCAAATGCAAGCACTTTCCTTCTTCAATGTCCAGGATGGCTACGTTTTGCAGTTCCCAGAAAGAGAGTACATTAAGAAAACAGTAGCACATTCAACATGTTCAATTAAATCAGAAACATAGTACCTGCATCAAAACCACAGCCATAACTTCCCCAGAAGGCGCTAACTGATTAAACTGTTTTGGGAACACAGTTGCCAAGAGGACCACAATTGCCGTTATTGCAGGAAGCATACCACCCTGAATTCCGTAATATTTGGTAAGAAAACTTCCAGCTTTGCATATTAAAAAAGACACTGCTATGGCAAGTGCAGACTGTAAAACAGGGAGCTTGTCACCAGAGCCAGAACTCATGTCCGTCACGCTATCTGTTCAGTGAGAAACTTGCTTAAGAGGAAAGTTTTGGTAGCAACTATACATTATAATGATCTTCAAGACAACAATATATATGAAATAAAATCCTGCTCTGCCCTCATTCAAGAAAGTGAAAGGAAAAACGTAACTGAAAAATAATTTTATACAACCTCATAAAGGAAGAAACGAAGAGCATCACAAGGTCCACAATAAAAACATCTCAGTTTTATTGAGAAAAAATGGTAGATGTTATACAACATACCACCAGTTGATGCTTCAGCTTCTGGAGGCACTCTGGATGCTATTGCAAATAGTGTGGCAAAATATACTGCACATAGAACGTTATCTGCAGCTAGTCCAGCAGTTTGCACTGATGGAGAGATCTCCAAAGCTTCCGCAATGGCAACATAATTGATAGCTGCAACCATTACAAACAAGGATATTTGAACTAAAATTCTCAGCTTTGAGACAAAAATTCCACAAAATTAATTAATGACATTATTTTCACAAGAAGAAACTCATGATAGAAAGGTGAAGAATACAAAATATCCAGAAAATTGACTGTAACAGACAAGAAAAGTTAAATGAACATTGAGAAATATAAAATTTCAGTCTTCGAAACATTTTAACACCAGTTTACTTGTGCAGATCATGTAAGCCTTTTGATCCAACCAAAAAACTCAGCACTAAAGTATGAGGAATTGTAAGCCCTTAGTTGAATGACACCAAGTTTACCAACACATCATTTGCAAGCGGAACTTGTTCAAGCTAACAAACATATATCAAAGAAACAGCAACAAACACCAGTAAAGTAGCAAGTACATTACCTCCGCCAATATGTCTACCCATGAGAGCAGCAGCTATCTTCCATGCATCTCCACCAAGCGACTGCATTGGCACCAAAAAGAACGCTACAACAGTTCCAACAGTGGTGGCAACTACAGATAAGGGAAAAATTAGCCTAATAAAAAAAACAATATCCAACTACTGATTACTAATACAAAGTATAATCTATAAGAAAAAGATGACAGACACATAATTATAAGAGAACTCCACAACAATTGGATAAAAAGATAACATATTCTAACTCTTGGTGGTTTCTAATCATTTGTCTGAATGCACCAGTGCATGCATTCAAGGAAAATTGGGGAGAAATTAAATCTGTGATCATCTTCTTTTCCAAGATCTTGAACTCAGGTTGGAAGGAGATGTTCATGAAAAGTCTTAACTAAACTACTTCTCTATATGAAATCAACTCGGGCCAAAAATAAAACATAAATAGCCATGAAGGAGTAATATACTAACTTGTGAAAGGAACATTTCATTATATGTTGACAGCATTCTCAAACTTATTACTTACTGCAGCATCCTTCTGGTTGCAGCAACCTAGTTCCATCTCCCAGTAACTTTTTGTCTTTGCTCTGCTGAAAGCTTCTACCATGTCCTCATTCCTGGAAATCTCAATTCTCAGCTGCAATGCATTCGCATTTAGCCAGAAGAGTTCGTTGATAGTAGCAGACATGTCCATTCAAAGAAATATGGATTTTTTACGAAACTAAGCCTTATTAGTAAACTATTTACGAATATAGACGCGTGGACAAACTATTTACGAAACTGAGCTTCTGAGGTAAAACGCTGCCTCGGTCAGCGTTTTTCCTCATTTTTATTTATTTAATTTGTTTTGAATTATGTATTTTGTGAAATACAAAATAAAAAAAAAAAAAAAAACTGAAATACACAAAAACGCTGCCTCAGTCAGCGTTTTTGTGTTAGGCTATAACAGGCCTTAAAACGCTGACTGAGGCAGCGTTTCATTAATACTAGAAACACGCTGCCTCAGTCAGCGGTTTTGCCTGGTATATTCTTCAGGCAGACGCAACGCATTCACTCTTCCTCAAAACTAAAAACTCAAACTCACTCTTCCTCAAAGCTCTGTCATCGCCGTCGCTGCCTCTGCCGCCGCCGCCTGCTGCCTGCCACCGTCGCCGCCGCCTACTGCCTGCTGCCGCCGCGCCTCTCCTCTTCTTTATAATCACATTTTTGGTACTTCTCACTTATTTGTTTTAAAAATTTTAAAACCTAGGTTAGTTTGATAATTATATAGTACATTGTTTTAATTTGATAATGTTGTTGATTATTCTAAGTTAGTTTGATGTAAATTGATAATTATGTTGATAATTCTAAGTTAGTTTGTTGTAATTTGATAATAGTTTAGTATAAAAGCCCTAAATTGATGTTAGTTTAGTAAGAAAGTTTATGATGAAATTGTGGAAATGTTTGGTAAAAATGTTGAAAATGTTGATGAAATTGTTGATATTGTTGATGAAATTGTTGTTTTAATTTGATAAAATAGCCTACATTGTCGTTTAATTACGAAAATTATGTTATGTAGAATACGTTGGTTGTTAGTGTGAATATGTTCGTTGTGTACTTTGTTTTGGTTGTTATGTGAATTGGAACAATGATGGTTAATTATGTTTGTAGTGTGAATTTCTTGGTTGTTATTGTGCGAATTGGTGGAGATTGCATGCAATTAAGATGTGTTTTTGGTTGTTGTATAGAATATGGCTGCACAAAATGCAGCTTTGTTATGCCAATGGGGGGGTGAATTTGTGTCTGATGGACCGAATGTCCAGTATAGTGGTGGAAATATGGAACCATTGCCACTTGGACCAGACATGACTTTCAACGATCTGATGAACGAGGTTCATAGCATTATTGGCTTTAACCGAATGAATGTACAACTTAACATTCAAATGAGGTTTGAGACTAATAATGCGGTTCAAGTGTTACCTTGTTCTAACGATAGACATTTGAAAGCTTTGAGGAGCGCTGTTTTAATGAGGGGTTATCCACATGAGATATATGTAGAAATAGTGTCTACGTGTACGCAACAAAGTACTCGACCAGATCAACAAGCTACCTATTTTTCCGGTTACACAGAGTCCTTCCGAATGCCCTCACAAGACATTCCATCAACTGAATATGGGATGGGGTCCTTCAGCAGACTGCTTCATGACGATCGGTTCCAGATGCCGTTGAGTTCACATATAGCTTCACCTGTATATGGTGGAACATCTACGACAATGTTTGGCCAATCTGGGCCTTCGACATCGAACACAGTTATATCTTCTCCCATGCAACTCCAAAGTTATTCACCTACGCAGCATGATGATCATACATCACCGTCTCAACCATTGGTAATCATCTTGAAAATCTACAACATATGGTGAATAACGAGTTGTCTCTGTATGATGCGCTCCGGGAAACAAATGATGAGGCTGAGAGCGAAGAGGAACCAATTCTGGATAACATGGATGTTGATTCTACAGACATGGAAGGTGGGGAGGCCATGGTTAGAACTCCTATTCCTTGGTTAAGTCAAGTAAATGAGAATTATGAGGTTGATCAATATTGGGCCGAATCAGGTAGTCATACAACATTTGTGATCGGGGGGGGGGGAGTTTGAGAAGGGTATGTTCTTTGAATCTAAGAAACTGCTTCAGGAAATGGTGAAGAAGTATTCTATACAAAGGAACCAATTCTACACCACAGTGACCTCGAATGAGAAGGTCCTTCATCTGCGGTGCAAGAAGAATTGTGGTTGGTCGCTACGAGGCACCAAAAAAAGTGAGCACTCAGATACCTTTACCATAGTCACATACAAAGGCCCGCACCGGGACACCTGTGTCACTGAAGTGTTATCTACAGATCATGCACACTTGGATTCATCCTTAATTTCCGATTTTGTGAAGTCTTTTGTGCAGAAAGATCCATGCTTGAAAGTTGAATTTATACAGGAACTCATATCCAAGCATTTTCAGTTCGACGTTACTTATCGAAGAGCATGGTATGCTAGGGAGAAAGCCATAGCTGAAGTATTTGGAGATTGGGAGAGTTCTTATGGCCGACTTCCGCACTTCATGGAAGCACTCAAACAGTCAAACCCGGGAACCGTTGTTGTATGGAAACACAAAGCTCTGGTAGACGATGTTTATTACAGCAACATGGAAGTGTTTGAACGAGTATTTTGGGCCTTCGGCCCTTGTGTTGAAGGTTTTAAACATTGTATGTCTGTCATCTGTATCGATGGGACGCATTTGTACGGGAAATTTAAAGGAACATTGTTGGTTGCTACAGGTGTGGATGCAAACTTCCAAGTATTTCCGCTTGCATTTGCGTTAGTCGAAGGGGAAAACATTTCCAGCTGGTCTTGGTTTCTGGGCTGCATTCGGGTTCATGTCACTCAACGGGATGGCCTCTGTGTTATATCTGATCGACATGCTGGGATCATTGCAGCAATGAATGACCCTAACGTTGGATTCACCGAGCCGCGAGCCTATCACAGGTTTTGTGTTCGGCACTTGGCTTCTAACTTGAAGACTCACGTGCGAAGAAACGACATGAGAGATATGTTCAAGGCTGCTGCGTACCAAAGGCAGGAAAGAAAACTGGTAGCTGATATGAGTTTGATCGGTCAGGCGTGTACCAAGGTCATACAGTATATTGTCCAAGTGCCCTTGCCTATGTGGTCTTTGTTTCACGATGCTGGTCGCAGATATGGGATATGTACTACGAACTTCTCAGAAACATTTAACAATGTGTTGAAGGGTGCTCGATTTCTACCTATCATGTCCCTTGTTGAATTAACATAGAGTCAATAAGTATTTCACTGATAGAAGGGAATTATCTCAGACTAGATCTGAACAGGGACTTGCATACTCCCCCAAAGTCACATCCATTATGGAGAAAAACATTGCAAAGGCTAGATATCACAAAGTGGAAGCGTATAACTGTCGACTGCATATATATCAAGTTGAAACAAAGAGGGGAGATAGAATTGGTAGAAAAGGAGGCCATAGACATACTGTTAACTTTCAGTTAAGAACGTGCACATGCAATAAACCACGGATCTTCCACCTCCCATGTTCTCATGTTCTAGCAGTTTATGTGAAGTATTCGATATCAGAGCGGCCATGGATGGACCGGGTACTGCAATCAGAGGCCTACGCAAACACATACGCTCCCCAATTCTGGCCTATCCCTTGTGAGACGACATGGAGAGAGAATGGAGGGCCTAAACTCATTCCCGACGACAGCATGGTACGAGGAGAAGGTCGCCCTAAGTCAAGACGCATACGCAATGAAATGGATGAGACCAACCGTCCCGCGAGCAAATGCGGCCTCTGTCACCAGCAGGGTCACAACAAGAGATCGTGTCCCTCTAGATCGACCGGGCACTAATTTTTTATTTTTTCTATTATCTAGAGTGATGTAGTAGAATAGTACGGTGATTGTATTTCTACATTTCAAATGATTGTAACAGTTGGATTTTTAGATTGAAGTATGAGATTTGAAATTCTGTATTTTGTTATCGCTTATATGTAATTTTTACTTTATAATTGTTGGATTATAACTGTTTATGAACAGATACCATGGACACCCGAGATAGGACACCCGGACCCACCGACCCTTCTGTCCTTACACTACATGACACACATCGTAGCGTTGACATTTGGAGTCAGTCGGTTGATCCGGCGGGCATACTGACATGCAGGCACTACACTGTTGCGTTCCTTGGCGATTGGGTTATCGATCCCCGCATTCTGCCTTTCGTGGAGTACGCTGGCTTCATGGGTATACATCGGATGGCGTTCAGAGAGGTCGACCCAGCGCTTGTTACTGCGCTTGTGGAGAGATGGAGGCAGGAGACGCACTCCTTCCATCTACCTGTTGGGGAGGCGACCTGACGTTGCGAGACGTGGCGATACTCACACGGCTTCCCATTCATGGGAGTCCTGTGTCTGGATCTGCGTTGGCCGATCCCCCCGGTTATGTAGCTCAGGTTCTCGGGGTTTAGCCAGGACCGGACGATATCAGGGGCGGCGGATTGAGGACCGGCTGGATACGCGACACTTTTCGTGTGTTGCCTGATGGTGCTGATGAGGCCACTATTGCGAGACATGCTCGAGCGTACCTTTTTCTGCTCATCTCGGGTGTGTTGTTCGGTGGCAAGAGTGGCAGCCATTTACAGATCATTTACCTGCAGCTGGTAGACCACGACTGGGAGCATATTCGTGGCTACAGCTGGGGCAGTGCTTGTCTGGCGATGTTGTATCGCCATCTGTGTAGAGCATCCCGCCGGGGTTCTCGTGAGATCAGCGGACCGTTATTTTTGCTTCAGGTAACCTACCTATCTGTTAACAATTTAATTTGGAAAGTTCTTACTTAGTTTACAATTAACCTAGTTTTGTGTGTTTGATGTCCAGTATTGGTCTTGGGAGCACATCCATGTAGGCAGGCCAGGTAGGCCTGCTATACATCGTCAGGGGCAGCAGGATCAGGACCAGCAGTATGAGCGGTACATTCCTCCACCACGGCCTTCCGCTGACGAGGCGTACGCTTGCAGATGGGCGGTCCCCAAGCTGACATATGCGCATGCGGAGAGGGGCCTGCCGTACTACCGATACGCCCTTGATCGACTTACCGAGGATCAGGTGAAATCTTTAATTTGTTTATGAAATTGTTATTTATTATGTATACTCTTAACATATTTAATATGCACTAACCTGTTTATTATGTTACTTTTTATGTGTTATCGCAGATGACATGGGACCCGTATGAAGCTGATTTAGTTGCTGTCATGCCTCCACATCTGCTAGATCATCAGGCGCAGTGGCGTTCTAGGGTCCCCCTGATCTGTTTTGAGGTCGTCGAGGGTCACCTACCAGATCGAGTCATGCGACAGTTTGGACTGCGACAGACTGTCCCCCAGCAGTGTGACACTAGTGCCCGGCTGCACCGCATTGACCGTCGGGGAAAGAGCGACAGGAACTGGCGGACGGAGCATGCCCAGTACATTGACTTGTGGCATCGACGGTTGGAGTTCGTCGTCACTGGTGACCCCATCCACGGCGTTATGGATCCATACGATCCATACATGGAGTGGTACATGCGGATTACACGGCGTTTCATCAACCCCAGCTACACACCGCCATCCGCACATTACCATCCATCCTTTGACGTGATCAAGGGATATGTAAGTGTATTTGATTAACTTATCTTTATCAATTTTAAATTTGTATATCATTCAACTAACTCATCCTTAATTACTGCAGGCGTTGGATATGACGGCGATGGTTAACGCACTGTCGGACGTCCTTCCAGGCATACCTGAGCCGCCCAGAGCACAGGTCGAGCGGGTGCGAGATATAGGCATGGCTACCTTGCAGAGATATGGTCACGCCTATCTCGTCCACCCCCGGGACGATCATGGCGGCCACTCTAGTCACTCACAGTTCGAGGCTGGCAGAGTAGCTGTGGGGGTGATCCTTCGTCATTCACGGGCACAGAGGAGTACGACATTCGCAGTTCCGCGACCCTACGTCATCCTGATGACCCATCTTCTAGCCAGCTGACTCCGCCAGTACGCCCGAACCCATTTACCACGGTCCGTCACTACAGCCGTCGTCAAAGGCCGAGAGTGGACATACAGGATAGAGAGCCGTTACACCAAATTGATGAGTCAGAATAGGATAGAATTATCTGATTTATTTGCTGTAATGACCTTCTCTAGTTTGTTGTACATAACACTTACATTACATTATTATTTTAATAATTATTTGAATGAATTTATGTCTTGTTTGAATTTCAAATTCCTTATTTGTCCACGTTTGACTCATTTCGTTCAAAATAAATTGTGGATGTGGAGGTGGTGGATGTGGAGGAGGATGGGTGGTGGATGTGGAGGAGGAGGGTGGTGGAGGTGTTGGAGGATGTGGAGGAGGAGGGTGGTGGTGGTGGTGGATGTGGAGGAGGAGGGTGGTGGTGGTGGTGGATGTGGAGGAGGAGGGTGGTGGATGTGGTGGATTTGGAGGAGGAGGGTGGTGGATATGGAGGAGGAGGGTGGTGGTGGATGTGGAGGAGGAGGGTGATGGTGGTGGTGGATGTGGAGGAGGAGGGTGGTGGTGGTGGTGGTGGATGTGGAGGAGGAGGGTGATGGTGGTGGTGGATGTGGAGGAGGAGGGTGGTGGAGGATGTGGAGGAGGAGGGTGGTGGTGTTGGTGGATGTGGAAGGGGGTTGCACTGGCTGCTGTTGGGGGCCTGCTGTTGCTGCCTTCAGCCAGCAGATAAAACGCTGACTGAGGCAGCGTTTTATGCTTAGGTGTAAAACGCTGACTCAGTCAGCGTTTTTCTCTGTTATGGATACAAGAAAAACGCTGACTTACTGTATTTCCAATTATTTTTTTTAAATTTGTATTTCACATAATACGAAATTTTATAAAAAAAAATAATAACCAAAGGTAAAATTTCGTAAATAGTTTGGCCACGCGTCTATATTCGTAAATAGTTTACTAATAAGGCTTACTTTCGTAAAAAATCCAAGAAATATAGCACCAACTAACAAATTTCAGGCAACCAGTAGACCACCTGACTACTGGATCCTAAAGTGGTTGTACAAAAAGGGTGTGCTTAAGGTACAGGTGTGCCAAATGCCCCACTTTACTACGGGACTGACTGAACATTTCAAAATCTGAACATGACTACATAGTCTACATCATAAAAAAGACCAAATAAATGTCCAGGATTCCACATAAGGGATTGCCAGTACACATTAAATCTATAAATCTAAAGAATGCTACCTGATCCAATCAAGAATGCCAAGAGCAATTTCCCAGTAGATTTGATCACACTACGTATATCTGCTCTATATAACAGCAACGGGACAGCCAAAGGAAGCAGAAAATCCATGACAACTGAATATGCTTTCGCTTCAGAAGCAATAATCCCCAAGTTACTTGCTGCAAGCCCAACTAGTGTAGCAACTAACGGACCACTCAGGGCGCTTCCTATCTTAGTCTTCTCTGACCTGCAACCATGAACAACATTAACAATACCACAATTGATTCATCAACAATTACCCACCAACAACAAATATAACATCTGTGATCTGTCTCAATACTCTACTCAATTTTTCCAATGGCATCCTTCTCCGAGACAATGTTCAGATGGAATTTACGCCTTTCGTGTACAACTTTTCTGGATCAAATGACTACCACACCCTTTGGATAAATTACAAAAACTTAATTTGGGATGATAGAAATTCCAATTTTCTCACTATTGCACATTTCATGGTTAGGATTTGGAAAGTAAAAGAAACACCTATTTCAATATACTCAATACCTAAACTTTCGCAAACTTAACCTAAAAATCCAGTAATCTCACAATATCATACTTCTCCATACTAATTGCACATAGTTCAAGTACAAAATTTTCTCAAAATAGTATTCAATCTACAATTGGAAAAATTCAGTTTACAGCTGCTGAATTAGGAAGGAGAGAAAACAAACCAGAGACCGAAAGCGGCTGAGGCGAAGAGAGCAGTCCAGGTGCCCCATGAATCGGTCGGAGATATGATCGGCGACGACAACGACGATTTCACGGTGGTCAAAGGTTTGACCGACCTAAATTTCTTCGAAATTGCAGGGAAACTGAGCTTACGGTGATTGAGAATGAGGTTATTACCGAGGAATTCGGAGTTTGATGTCGACGAGTAGCTCTGTAAGTGTGGATTTTGATGCCGGAGACTCGCCGCCGCCGGCGATAAGTAGTGTGATTTTTGCGGCGGTGAAAGTACCGCCGATGGGAAGATTAACGGCATTGCCGGCGGAAGGTCGGCAGAGAGTGGCAATGGAATAGTGGTAGTCTAGTCTTCAGGTTGGCAAAGAGATTGGAACTCTGATAGTCTGTTAGAAATGGCCAACGGAAGACTTCCCTTTTTTTAAGTGCTCTACTTTTGACTTTTTGCGCTATTTATCTACTCAAATTTTACATAATGCTTCCTGGTTACTTGTGTGTTTTGGTTAATGACAAGCATGTTGAAACTTGAAACGCTAAGGGCTATGGTAACATTCAAGCAAATTATGGTTTACTCGTATCAGTTTATGTAAACGTTAAGGTACTTGTGAGATGCTTATGGTTTATGTAAATACTTGCATATTGAATCGCAAAGGCAAGCAAATTACGCGATTATTTTTACCAGCTCATGATATGGCTTGTTACACAGATCTTTTGATTCTATAGAATTCGCAGAAAATGTACCAATTTTTAAATTTGCCTTCATTCTTTGTCAAAGCTATTATGAGAAAACGAAATAGCAAAACTAGCAAAACAATCTCAAGGAGTAATGATCATTTGGAAGCTTCAAAATTTCATATCTGTAGCAACTTTCATGAAAGCTGATTTCTAACATTAAAAAATCCCTTCCCTCTGACAACTATATGATGCATAATTTATTTGCTCGACAATCAAATGCAAGTAATAATCTACCAAAATAATTTCTATAACTTACTCCTAATTTACAGAGAATCAGCAAGGTGCAGAAACAGTCAGGCTGTTACAGTAACCAACAGAGCACACAGGTGTAAATGTGCTAGTATCGCTTTCACTCATGAATCATTACGCCACGTTACAGATGAGAAACCATTGTTAAAGAGCTAGGATGAATAGTGCTCAACCTGCTTCTGCTTCTTTGCTCTACTGCCATCATCTTCCAGCACCTTCAACTTATTCTTTATTGCGGCAATTTTTGCACTTCGACTCATTTGTCCAGAAGAATTGCCTGAATGGATTGATCTGCTCACAACTCCAGCAACCTTAGATGAACTTTCCACCGTTTCAGCAGCAGATTTCTCGTTAGCAAGGCGTACAACCAAAGGGCGTCCACAAGCCAACCTCCCATGCATCTTCTCCTTGGCTAGTCTAGCTTCCTGCATGCTCACTTCAATGAAGAATGTAAGAGATTGTTTTTGATTCATCTTCTTAGCAGACCAACAATTAAAAAGGAAATTACAAGGATGGGCTTCAGTATATAAGCAGCTTACCTCTTTCGTGCTATACTGGACAAAAGCAAAGCCACGTGGTTCTCCTCGTTTTGGTCCCCGGGTGTGCAACAAGAAGTCCTCAGATTCAATCTTCCCAAATGGAGAAAACATCTTGAGCAGAGTAGCCCTTAATTGAGAAAAACCGCGTCACAAGGGCAGAAAATGGAGAACTTTTAAAATTTTATGCATAATACTTACTCAGAAATTCTATGATCAATGTTACCGACGTAAATCCTTCGGTCAGAGGTCTCGTTACTCATACCATTTAAATCCTGTGCAAAGAAACACCCAAAATTTACAAAGAAGATTTATTTCAGAAGAATGTTTTTGTCACTATAACCAAGTAAATGTATCCATCAAAAAAGGCACTTGAGAGCTAGGTATTTGTCAATGTATCCAATCACATATAACCAAACCGCTTCAAAAGCAGCAGTCCAAGAAATTTAAGATACATTGGACCACCAAGCCTTAGAAAAAAATAAATTAAACGAACCCAGGGAAAGACTTAATTCCTGATAACATGTTTTGACAAGAATTAACAATTTCACATAAAGTTCCAACTTCCAAGTACTGGAGTATGGACTCTATTACCCAACGAGCCATATTTGAAGTGATGGTAAAAAAAAAGGTTTTAAAAAAAATGATACTCCAATATGCAGACTATATATATACACTTGTACTGTATTATTTATCATCTCATCTATCAAGTCAATTCTTAAATCAGAAGTCAAATGAATTTGAAACATGTATTAGATATCATGCTGATGAGTGATGACAATGTAAGATGACCTCTCTCCGATTCTCCATCCCCAAAAAGGTCTAACTTGCTATTTTGAGATATTGAAGAAAAAAAATTACAAAGTTTATAAACAAAGGCTCCCCTGTTTCAGTAATATCTGTTATAGCAACATTCTTGGCAGTTGGCAATCACTATCCTAATATCCTCTGTCATAAGATTTAAAATCAAAGCAAAGCAAATTAATTGAGTATGAGAAACTAAAATCTTAATTAAAGTAGTAAGTTAGTAACATAACTCCCTCAAAAATGGAAGTAATATATGGAATTCTTAAATGACTTATAGGGAAACAGCAGTAGGTTCCCAAGTGTCTAGACTCTACAGCAAAGGATGGAGGTAATATATGAAATTCTTAAATGACTTATAGGAAAATAGCAGTTGGTTCTCAAGTGTCTAGGCTCTACAACAGAATTACGAAATTAAACAGTACCTTACGAGAAGACAGTAACAGAGTACATGCCATTAGATCACGAAACAGGGAAACAAGAAAAGTCCATCACCACAAGCTAAACAAAGACAAAAAAAAAAAAAAAACTATGACAATGGCATCAATAATAGCATTCGACCTCACATCAGTTCTAAAGTGGCCAGTTAGCCACCCTCTATAAGATTTGAGGCCACTAAGCTTTACATCTAGGAGTTGTGTGGTATGTGCATGCAAACTATTCACACATAGACAAGGCTATAAGATATCTTGCATTTACAACATGAAAATACATTACCATAATCTTGGACATGGAAAATGATGCCAATCAAGCAATGGTACCCACAAAGTCAGCAGCTAATATGAACCAGAGCATCACAATCTCTCTTCAACTGCATTCACAGATATCAAAAATCCTAATCAATTCACAAAAGAGTTTATTTCACATAAGTTAACTTCGTATGAAGATAACATCAAATTAAATTAAATACGGAATGCAGAAAATGGTTGTGAAAGGTAAGTGATTTATCAAGTAATTCAATCCTTGTTCCAACTCTTACAAGAAGCTGCCAGCAGAAACAGTTTTACTTAAATACCATGCAGTGCATCGAAACAGTTCCATTTTTTTACTCAATTACACAAGTTGATAGTACCCTTTCCTCCACCCATTATCGCAAATCTACAACTATAGTTAACTTCTAAATAAGTCTGCACTTAAATTGCAAAGGAATGAACTCTTAGATAATAGCATAGGAAAAATTGATAAAAATAATCCCAACTTTCGCCCATTCGCTCAAAATAATCCCAACTTTCGCCCAACCTTAGGTTTTAGAGAGGTAACAAATGGGTGGAAACCATTACCTTAGGTAATGGTAATTGTTACTCAAACCTTCCAACTAAACACTTAGTAACGGTAATGGTTTATTTGAATCCAATCCATTTCCAATCAAAAAACACTCCAACCAAACATGCTCTCAATGTGACTTGAATTCGTGAATGTTCATCCAACATAAATAAAGCTTAGAAAATTACAAGGAAAAAAAAATTACAACCATACAACTAATTATTCAATGATACTTGATGACAAGATTTGTTCTTTTGCCATTCCCATAAAAATTAACATATGCAAATTAATTTTGTAAGAATAACTCATTCAATTACATAAGAATGATTGCATACAACAAAATCAACAAACCCAAACTATAAAGTAAAAAAATCAATAGGAAAAGTTACAAAACCCTGACAACAAATATTTAAAAATTAAAATCGAATCCAAACATGAACTGGCAACGCAAAAATCACATATAATCTGAAATTCAATCAACAAAAGCCAAATAACGATATTTGAGTTGAAGAAGTATGAGACGAAGAAAGCAAAAATACCTTGATAAACGAGCTCCAGATTAATGGATTGTAGCTAACGATGTGATGATGGTAAGTATGAACCGACCGAGTACGATGATTCAAGGGTTTGAAGCGCCGACGATTACTGTGTCTCTCAAAATTTGGGTTCAAAGCAGGAATTTGGAAATGGTTTCTTTTTTCTTCACTTTATTGATTAGATAGGTAATTTGACATGTACTCCGTAAGGGTGATTCGTGATTGTTTGGGTTGATCCAGGACAAGATGGGAAAATTAGGCCCGGTACGACCTTACATGAAAAAGTTTGTGATACGGCTCGTGCCTTGCCTAAGCCTATGTCGATTCAGCAAGTATTTCAGAAATGATCTTATTAGGTCTTTTTATTTACGTTTCATTTATCACTAAATATATTCGTGATTAGTAAAATTATGCAAATTTCATATTTGGAAATCTATTGACCTCTCGTTTGATAACTTTTAATGTTAAAAATTATCAAAACAAATAAGACCAAAGTTTAGTCAAATATAGAAATCAAGTCGGATTGGATAATTTTTTTTTTTTAGGGCAACAGCCTAAATTGTGGTTTAAGATTAGCCAGCATGGCAGCATTATATTACATGTTACCACAAGCATGATTTTAAGTGTAGTTGTTGTCTAAATAAACCCAAATGAATTGTTGGTCACATGGCCCAACATAATCCAATGTCAAGCCCATAAGTACATAATGGGTTTTTAAGTTGATCATGTGGAGGAATTAGGCCATGTTTGATTTAGTTTATTTTGATTTTATTTAAGAAAAACAAGCTCAAATAAGTGAAGACAATAAATTCAAATAAAACATTAAGTTCATATAAGTTCAAGTAAATTTTTTTTTCAAATGAATAACACAATTTTTAGACAAAAATAAATTAAATCGGATAACATAAGATTAATATTAAAAGAACCTTACCTTTTGTTCTACTATAATGATACAATTTAGGCTTGATAGTCTAGCCAAGTTTATTGGGTTAAAAACTTTATACCAACTTGTAAAAACTATAATTTCTTATCAATAAGAAAGTGTTTGGTTCCCAAATTCCGTGTATAAAGTACTCCGTATTAGGGTTTGTTTGGTTGTATGTAGGAATTGCAAATACCTTGGAAATTTGATTTCCCATAAAATTGAACTTCCTAGGAAATTCTAAAAAGTGTTTGGTTAACCAAGGAAAGTGGAAATTCCCATGAGAAGTTCCACTTACCTAGGTCCCCCTACTTAATTTAGTTCCTTTATTTTGTGGGAAAGTGAAAATTCCTAAAAATTTCTACTTCCCATGAATTTGTCAACCATACACCATGGACTCTACTTCAATCCTAATTCAATTACACTGATTTTCTATTTAGGGTGTCTAATTTATATTCTCATTTTCATGTTTGTAATTTTTTTGCCCTAATTTTTTTCTCTTGAACTTGATATCACATTTAATTTGCCCACCCTTTTTTTTTTCCCTTTTCATTTGTCATTTGCTTTGGGCAGTTAGTGTTTGTTTAATAAAATAACAAATTCTAATGGCATCCGGCATCCCACATTCTTGGCCCATGCCCATCCCCTTCATCGGTTCATCCGGCTCATCCCATATTCCCACATACCAAATACTCCTTTAAAGTAGTTGAAAAAAGGTGCATTCCAACTAATTCATGGTTGTCATTATTCTCATTAGCATCCAAAGAAAGTCAGCAAAAGCTTATCGCAAGTTCAATGAGATTCTGCACTTTTATGGTATTGCTACTTCCTGGTGGAACTTGTGCCTGTGATCACTACTTTAGGCTTTTAGCTACCAAAATGGATTACCCATTGCCTATCACATTATCGGAAAACAAATTTTTTTTTTATTTTTTTATTGTTCACCTTTAATTAAATTTTTTTTTTTTTTTTAATTAACAATCTTATTCAACTTATTTTGGCTTCTTCTCCACAATCCAAGGTAAACTAAAGCATACTTCCTCCGTTTTTTTATATTTGCAACACTTCCTAAAATGAAAATATCACAATACTTGCAACACACTATAATTAGTACTCCTAACTATCTCTCACCCTCATTTTAAGTGTATTAAATCATACGGGCCCCACTTTTCTTAAAAAAAAACAGTAAAAAAGTATGTGTTGCAAGTATAAAGAAACGGAGGAAATATGATATACAATTAAAATTAGATTAAAATTATGCGAGTACAAGCTTAACATAGACCATGTTCTTTTAAACTTAAGTAAGATGAATTGAATTGAACTAATTTGAATTGAGCTAAACTACACTGAACTAAACTGAATTGAAATTAAATCCTGAAAATAAGTTCGAATAAATAAGATCATAGCCTAAGCCTATCCATACATCATCGAAAATCAATTACATCACCATTAATCGTTTACACCGTATTCGGGTTATGTGCACATAAATAACACAATCTATGACAAATAATCCAAACCCTTAAGTCAATCTGCTAAAGAGTGCAAGAAATTTCATTCATATGAAAATGGAAATGTGAATTTTTGACAAAGTGGTCTTTTGGGCCCGCCATAAAACACGCGTCTTCCAAAATGTTGCATAAAACAATTTTCATATCCATGTGAACTCAATGCTGGATACACCAACGGTCCAAATTCTTCTTTTTTGTCAAATATAAAAATTCCTTAGTTTTATTCTAAAGCTCAATGATTTACATCACACTCACTCAAACAGTACCCATAATTTGCTATAATGATATGAAATTAAGCTAAATAACACAATTTTTCAGTGAAATCTAGCTAAAATATGGATACCCAGATGAATAATTTCCTCTTTTCTTTGCTAATTTTCTGTTTAATGACCTCTTTTTCTGCTGCTGACTTTAATCCACCTGATAATTACCTCATAAACTGTGGTTCAAGCTCAAAATTTACAATTGAAAATCGTGTTTTTATTGGAGATTTAACAAAACCCAGATTTCTTAAAGTTGATTCTTCTTCTAAATCATCACCAATTTCAATTTCTAACCCAAAACCATTACCAAATTCTCCCCCAATTTACAACACTGCTAGGGTGTTCATAGGTGGGTCCATTGCTACATATGAATTCAGCATCAAATCAAGGGGTATTCATTTGGTACGTCTTCATTTTTCGCCTTTCAATTCACAGAATTATAATCTTAGTTCTGCAATTTTTAGTGTTTCTGCAAATGGGTATTCTTTATTTCATGGTTTTAGAGCTTCTAAGTATTTTTTGAGGGAGTTTATAATGAGGGTGGATTCTGATACGCTTAAAATTGTGTTTACTCCTGATGGTGCCGAAATCGGGTTCGGGTTTGTTAATGCTATTGAGCTGATTTCTGCTCCTGATAATTTAATTCTTGATTTTGGGGTGATGTCTTTGGAAAATTATGGTACCAAGGAGTATAAAAACATGTCTTCCCAAATTTTAGAGCCTGTTTTTAGAATTAATGTGGGTGGTTTGAAATTAACCCCTTTTAATGATACCCTTTGGAGGAATTGGATTCCAGATGATGATTATCTGGCTTTACAATCAGCTGCTAGAAAAGTAAGCACAAATCATGCTCCTAATTATAAACTTAGTGGTGCTAGTGAGGAGGTTGCACCAGGTAATGTGTATATGACTGCACAAGAGATGAATCAGAATAATATGTCAGGCCTTTCTGATTTCAACATAACGTGGAATTTTCCTGTGATTGATCATGTAATGTATCTTGTGAGGCTGCATTTTTGCGATATCGTGAGTATTGGGCTTAATCAGCTTTATTTCAATGTGTTTATCAATGGGATGATGGCATATAAAGACCTTGATTTGTCGGCCCTTACATTCCATACGCTTGCATCTCCTTATTATCTTGATTACGTTGTGCAAATGGACCATTCAGGGCCTATTCAAGTTAGTGTTGGTCCATCTTCATTGAGTACTTCTTTGAAGAAGAATGCTATCTTGAACGGAGTTGAGATCATGAAGGTAGTGAACAGCAAGGTTACTGAAGCCGGATCCAAGAAAAATCATATGTGGGTCATTTTGGGTTGTGTCCTTGGAGGTTTTGCTGTTTTGAGCCTAGTGTTGGTTGCTGTTTTGCTTACACTAAAATGCAGGAGGAAAAAAAAACCTGCATCAGAAAGTTTAGGTTGGACTACCTTGCGTGTGCCGGGAGGAAGCGTGTATAGTAGAGTTACAGAAAGTAGTACCTCTCCGCACAGGAATGGATTGAAGATTCCTTTTGAGGAAATACAGTTTGCGACCAACAATTTTGACCGTACTTTGATAATTGGTACTGGCGGATTTGGAATGGTGTTCAAAGGGGTTCTTAGAGATGGTACAAAAGTTGCTGTGAAACGAGCCATGCCGGGGTCCAGGCAAGGTCTTCCAGAATTCCAAACGGAAATATCAGTTTTATCAAAAATCAGACATCGCCACCTTGTTTCAATGGTTGGCTACTGTGAAGAGCAATCAGAAATGATCCTAGCATATGAATACGTGGAGAAAGGACCGCTGAAGAAGCATCTATATGGTGGTAAATCACCTCCATTGTCTTGGAAGCAGAGGCTTGACATTTGCATTGGTGCTGCTAGAGGTCTTCACTACCTTCATACTGGTTTTGCTCAGGGGATCATCCATCGAGATGTCAAATCAACAAACATTTTACTTGATGAAAGTTATGTTGCCAAAGTGGCTGATTTTGGGCTTTCAAGGTCTGGCCCCCATCTTGATCAGACCCATGTAAGCACGGGTGTAAAAGGTAGCTTTGGTTATCTAGATCCAGAATATTTTAGAAGACAGCAGCTAACAGATAAATCGGATGTATATTCCTTTGGTGTCGTGTTGCTCGAAGTTCTTTGTGCTAGACCTGCAGTAGATCCCCAGCTAACAAGGGAACAAGTAAATTTAGCTGAATGGGCATTAGAATTTCAAAAGCAAGGCCTTATAGAGGAAATTGTTGATCCCCATCTCAAGGATCAGATAAAACCAAGCTCACTAAAGAAATTTGGAGATACAGCACAAAAATGTTTAGCTGAATATGGTGCTGATAGACCAACTATGGGAGATGTTCTGTGGAACTTGGAGTATGCATTGCAACTTCAAGAGGGTCAACCTACTACAGAGACAGACGATACTAGTGACACATTTACTTCAGAGATTTCTGTAACTAGAATTGTTCCTCGTGGTCCTAACAATGTTATTCCTGTTGGTGATACAAGTGATGAGAATTTAGGCAAGTCTACTAGTGACGTTTTCTCTCAGTTGGTGACCAATGAAGGCAGATAGTCTACACTGTGGTCCAGCAAGTTCTAGCTTGTAAATGTTTTTCAGCATTGTATATTATCGGTAATCATCTAAAATTTCATACTCTTTGAATTTATTTTGGGGTTCATGATTGTATTATTTGGTCATAATTGCTTCATAATTGCATACTATTGTTGTTTTTACCTGTAAGTGTGTGGTAGTGTGGATGCTATCTGCAGTGTGCTCTAACTCACAAATCTATTCTCAGGATATTTATATTAAGGTCATTAGCTACAAGGGAAAAACATACGCCCTCTAATTCAAAACAAAAATCGTTTTAACAATTTTTCTCACATATCAAGAAGCTGATTAGTGTGAGTTAGTAATTCAGTATTGTTGAATATTGTGTGGATACTATAAAATCAATCAATCAATCAATCAAAGCTTTAATCCCATAAGTGGGGCTTTGATTGATTGATACTATAAAATGATTTATAATTTTTTACTGAAATTATATACTTGTATTAAAAATGACAATTGAATGTTGCATAGGTGTTACATATTGCATTGTAGCTGTAGTAAATGGTGGTCCCTATGTATCTACTATGGGGTTATCATGCCATTTGCTCTATAACACAAGTTGCATAACCACTATAAACAAGCGAGGCATTCCACCTACATGAGCTGTTGAGCAAAGCACTTTTAGACTTTTATGTGGTTGCTCATCACTATAGTAGCTCTTGTATCTACTGCTTGCAACTGAGTATTGTAAAACTCACGAGGTTGCATAAAGTTTTGGGCTGAAGCTGATTCGGTTGGGAGTTTAACTATGATTGGTGAGCTTATCTTTTGCTGCTATCGAGTCTTATTCCCCATATTAATAAGCTGGCTCCCGTAGCAGTATTTCATTTGTAGAGTAACTGTACTCTTCAATTGAATCTGCCATTGTAATGTTGGGGAGCCACTGCGAGTTGGAAAGTCCCAACTTCTGCGGAAGTCCTTGGCTGCTATTGTTTACCAATTAGGATCTGCTTTATTGTAATAAGCTTTACAAGGGAGGAAGATGGAAGTTCATGTTTTTTAGACTGTCTTCAGTACGTTGGCAAGGATTTCACTTCCTATTTAGTTACATGCTTTTAAATTGGATAAACTGAGTGACCTTGTTGAAAAATTCTTTTGTACTTTTGTTCTTTGTTATAGTGCATATATTCCTTAATATCACTTCATTTGCCTTTGCTAACAAAACCGAGCTTCATTGCTTTGCCAGGACTCAGAATTTATGCCACTTCTTGTTTTGGTTAAACATTTATGGATTTCTCCAAGGTTTCTTGTACTCCATACTAATCATTAATAGCATATAATTTTTTAATGTCAGATTGGATACTGAACCGTTGGCTATCAGAATATAATTATCCTGTTACATTGCATTTAGTTTAGAGAGCCATTTTCTTCGTTACAAAAAGTTGCTTCTTTTGGTTAGTTAATTCTGATATCTTGTGCTTATTGTAATAGATTATAGAAGATGGCGAGATGCAGCATAGGTAATGCCAAGATGAGGTCTCATGTTTGAACGAATTACAGAATTCTTGGATGATTACATCAGGCTAAAATATGGAGGACAAGATTGCAGTTACCTATAATCCGTTTGGTAGATAGTAATGGTAATGAGCTTGTGTAAGGAGTTCCTCATTCCAAAGTCCATGACACTGCAATTCTGTTTGGCTTGTTATAGGGAATATTTCAATTACGAAAGTGAGAGTAATATGATTCAGGCATTAAACATGTTCCAATACATCTAGTTAGGTGGTTGAAATTTTGATTCTTTGTAAATTGTAAAGGCAATAGTACACAATTTGTTCCTCTTGCCACAGATTGAGGTCTACAATCTATATCCACACGTTAAGATATTGTATGTACGGTATGGATGTCCATGTTTGTATTAATGAACATCCGTGAATTCAAAAGCAGATGTGCAAATTAAATTGCTCATACATTCATCCTTGCATTCCGCCGGTGATCACTTATTCTCTTCTTACACCACTCTGTACTTAAAAGCAGTTCTATAAAACCAGATGGCGACAATATATATTACAAACTATTATACAGAACTCCAGCTTTTCCTGAATTTCCATAGAATTCCATAATTAACACTAATCAAACTGGATGGATTTCTGGGAAAGGGTTGATCGAGAAGAGTAAATAATCATCAAAGATGAATTAATAAGAGCATTGATGCCATAAAAATTGAGGTGGCCTGCGAAAGATGCAGATGTCTTGCTGCCGGTAAACAAAAAAAAAAAAAAAAAAAAAAAGAGGAATAGGAATTGGAACATTAATGCCAACCTGACTTCCAAAATTCACTAGGATCAAATTGAAGGTCAAGCAGCAGGAGGAGCCTATCCAAAACCAGGCAGAAGAAATTAAACTAACTAGCATAAGGAATTAACAAAACATAACAAGATAAGTTAACTAACAGAAGTTTCTGCACCTTATCAAGGATGTAGCAAAGCCAACAATCTCTACAATATGGATATCATCAAATTCAACAATTTCTTTTTTCTTTTCTGCATTGGATTGCGGGGCAAGATGAGGGTGTATTAACAAATAAGCCAGGAATAAAAATTGAGGCTCTGGCTATTTAGTGAGACACCTTATTACAGCATCCCCTACTGTAACATAATTAGATACACATGCATCAAAGGAGCATGCTAATTTACAAATATCATTCACCAAGACTTGAGTTTCTGACTTATCTATGGATCTGTATTGGATTAAAGCAATGAGATGGAGGCAATCTGTTTCTACCTCAATCTTTGTGAACCCCCCCTTCAAATGAATACCTCAGACCGCACAAATAGATGTTGCATCAGATTGTGCTAGAGCCATTTTCGCCACCAATCCTCTCCCTATGGCCATGGGAACATCCTCCTCCCTATCTCTTACCACCATGCCCTAACCAACTCTGTTACCCATGATTGTAGCATCCAAGTTGAGCTTATACCAGCCTGCATTAGGTGGCTTCCAAACAGCTACTCAGTAGTGGCTCCAGGCACTCTTCACGAGCACACAGCTGGTTCAACTTTATCAAGAAATCTCAGAGCTTTTGCACATACCAAGGGGGTTCTATCCTCCTTTTCTCAAACATCTGAGAGTTTCGGGTGTTCCATATTTGCCACAGAAACATCATCAATATCTCCCAGGAGCCATTAATGACACATACCTTCACAGCATTTTCGCACCAAGCTATCATACTTTTGAGGACATTCCCCTTTAACTCCAGCCTAGCATGGGATAAGCACCATAATATTTAGCCTCTGCCGAAAAAGAAAAATAGAATGGTCATAATCCCCAAATATTCTGACAATAAACAGAAAAAGAAAAATGATTGCAACTCCTTTAGACCCTTAGTCAATTTCTGCACCCATATTCTGGATGGCCTATGTGAAAATATTTAATCATCTATGATGATTTTATTTTGAAAGCCATTGGATCATTCTAAGGCTGAATTTGATGAGCCCATAAAGAACCCAAGCAGTACAAATTCCAAATGCTTAAAATTACATCTCTGTCTGATGGATCAAATGAGATGTGCTGCTGAACTAGTTTTAGCATATAACAGGCCTTTGAAACATGAGTTTCCTGGGTATTGAGAATTTCCAGATAACCTACATTCAGGACTAACTCTATAACAGGTGGCACAGCAAGATGCAGCTACAGAATTAAGTTTCAATACCTGGTTCGGCTACTTGCTCATGACTGAACCAAGGTCAGCATCAGGTGATGTTCCTGGCTTTCTGCATTCACTTTCATTGCTTTGGCAGCCTCAGCCAACTTGCTTTCCCTAATAAAATTTACATAAGTTAGATATTACGACAGATATTTACTTTTTTTCATGATAAGAAGAGCATCTTCAACTTAAATGGAATACATCTTTGTGGTCTACACAAAATATAAATCTTGTGGATAAAATAGCTATTTTCTATTCATTTACAAAGTCATGAGTATGACATAACTCAAGCCTTAAACAAATGGATTATAGATGAATTTGCTTCAGTATTGCAATTACAACTTTTTTTTAGAGAGAGGTATTGATCCAGAACCAGGATAGGATGCACTTGACTTTGTACATTGCATCAGAGCCTACTTATGATATAATTTGCAACAAGTGCATAATAGCTAAAAATTGTATTGTCAGCATGCACAAGCCACTAATGGGATGCAAAGCAAATAGCAGTTGAAATTCTTGAAAAACAGCAGAATCTGGGGATGTGATTAGACTAATGGTTCATTCTTCTCAACGCACATTCTCCATACAGTTTACCAGCTGTTTCTCTGGTTGAAAGTCTAATCTTGATCTCAGTCTCCTGATGAAATATGGTTCATTCTTCTAACCTAAACGCTCTTAACAAGGGAGAGATCAGGAAGATACACCATATTACTTTAAGGTAAATTGCTTTTAAAACACGGCAAACTGTACTTTGTAACGAAAACACTGTTAACAAGGGAGAGATTAGGAAAATACAGCATATTTCTTTAAGAAGGCAAATTGCAGTAAAAAAAAAAAAGGCAAACTGCACTTTGTGGCCAAAAAAGGCCTATTTTCACAATCTCATGTTCTCTTCAAAATTAAGTAAATGTGGGAATACCAGCCCTAGGCTACTAACAAAATAAAGTACATTGAATCACTCATAAGCCTTTTCCCAGTCATCTACAACTTCTGCATTGTCATCAGGAGTGCCCATAAGCTGCACAGTTGCACTGCTTGATGGCACAGTCTTCATTTCCCTCTCAGAAGTGGATTCAGCAGCTGCAGTTCTTTTGGCAAAGTCCAAGGCTCTTGCTGATGACTCTATTGAGCTCAAAGAAGAATCGGGATTCAGAACTGTCCAGCGGTTTGTTGTCGAGGTAACTGGGGCCTCACGACCTTTAGATGATGTAGACGGTCCCACATCAGCAGTAACACTGCCACCGGACCAGTCCTCTTCACCCCATGAATCTTCAACCCAGCTATTAGTTTCCTTTACAACAGCTTTTTTCCAGGGATTACCCTTCAGAGCAGAAGAAGCTGCCACCCCTCCCCAAGCAGATGCTGCAGCAGCTCCAGCACCTCCAACACCAATATGTTGAACGACAGCAGCCCCTTGATAAACAGATCCATTATCTAACCTTCTCATAGCAGTAGCTGCACGAGCAGGATCGCTGAAAACAGCAAGAGCATTCTTGTCATTCAACCACACCAGTTCACACTCACCACCAAAACGCAGAACCAATGTGCTGATGTCTGCATCACTTGGGAGGTCAAGCAGGGCAACAACATGCCTAGGATCCATATCCACCAAAGGGTCAAAAACAGGTGGGTGGTGGACACTCACTGCAGCTGAACCCTTGGGCCCAATAATACGAGCTGGAGCTTTGGATTTAGCAGTGGCATGAACCACTATGAAACGCCTAGGCTCCCAACCAGCAGCATTGATTGAGAGTTTCCATCTCTCCGCTATTAACCGGATTGCATCTCGCTTATCCTTCAGCATTGGACAAAAGACATGAACTTTAATATTGCTGCCACTACATCCTTTGCCTTTACCAAGTACCAGGTGTTTGCATCTCTCCTCCACTGCGAGTACCCATTTTGGATCACGGCGAAGTAACTCTGAAACCACTTGTGAAACAGCTGCATTCTCTCCAAAATGAAGAGCATCCAGACTAGGCTGAGAAATATCAAAAGCATCTGCAAGAACACGCTTCCTCTCAAGCTTGGCACATTCATCGTCACACATGAGCTTCCTCTGTCCAAGTGGAACTCTTTTCTCATTTGCTTCCACAGGCTGAAGTGGTGCTGGCAGCTTCTGTAGAGTAGAAGCTTCAAGCACATTAACAGCACTAAAGCCTAAATTGCTTCCCCCAGCATCACAAGGCACCGTTGCAGTAATTCTGCCACAAGAGCATGTGATTGTCACAGGAAATTCACATCTTGACTCAGGACAAGGAGTTGTAGGGTGGCAGAGAGCTTGACAAGTGTGTCTACAGTCTCTCCTCGGAGCACCGCATACTTGCCCACAAGAACCCTTCACGGCAGGATCTGACGGTCCGCAAGATGGATCACATGGTGCCGGGTGGCAACTCCTGGAACAAGAATGCAGTCCACATCGCCTCGTCTTTCCACAAAGTTTGTTACAAGTTATGTCCTTTGACCCACAAGGAATGTTGCGAAGAACCACATGTCCACCAACACATTCCTTTGCTATGGGAACTGAACAAGGAGGGCAGTCTCCAAAATGGCAGCTGTGAGTAGATTGGTGGCCACAAGGCTGAGGAACTGAACATGGATATTGGCATGAGGGAGGAGGGGTCCCACAAGGTAGGGGTGGCGGGATTGAAGTCCTTCCACATGCACATGTAAGGTCAGTAAAAATAGTTTCCATGCAGGGAGGACAATGACCACAGTGACAGAAGGCTTCACAAGAATGCTGCCCGCATTTCAACTTCTTTCCACAAGGCATGGAACAAAAGTGTGGGTTCCAATCACCAGATGCAGTGTTTCTAGAATCAGAAAGGGGGCAGCAGCGCTCACTACACCGATGCCTTCCACAATTCTTCTTACGCCCACATTGCCGATCACAGACAAATTTCTCACTGGCAAGGGTGGTCTTATAGCATTCCACAGTTCGAGAAGTTGAACCACAACGGCATTTCTGAGTGACTAGCTCAGAGCAAGGAGGACAATTTCCAGCATGACACTTATCCTTACAGTAATGTTTATTACAAGGAAGAAGCTTGCCACAAGTACCTGAACATGTAGAAATTGGGTCCAGACAGCTCCTTCGCCAAACCCTGAGGTTTGTCTTGCCACAATAACAGGTCTTTACTTTGCCGGGCAAGAATTCACACTCCCCACATGGGCCTGGGTGACAAATTTCAGCACAAACATGGTTTCCACATTTCAACTTCTTTCCACATGTAGAACTACAAGAGTAAAGACCATCATCCGGCC